TCTTGCATTATTTTTTCTCACCTTTTTTTTTCGTTTTTGCACTTACACGTTCAGCCTTAATGATTTTTATCCTATTTAATGATCATTTTCTATTTTCTAAAACACCTAGCCTAGGGATATGAAAGTAGGTTTGCAAGTTACGGCCTTTGCGCGATTGCCCTTCCTCTTAGAGGACTTTATGAATTTCAATTACAGCCAAACATTTCCTTACGGACAGTTTACTTCGTCCTTATGTTAATGATATCTTACAGTTTTGTACTGTTTACGGTTCCTCAATAATACCCGCGCATTGCTCTGTAGATTAATTATGATGTCTTTTGTTGTGTTTTTAAGGAACTTATTCAAAATGCGGAAGACGCGGGTGCCACACAAGTCAAATTTCTGCACGACAAACACAGCTATGGAACAGATGAGCTATATAACGATGAACTGGCAAAATTTCAGGTACCGCCTTCTCAGTCCCATTTAAATCTTGAACCTGACGAAAGCGCCAATTCATGAGTTTCGTAGATGAATATGACGATTTCTGTCCACCAGCCCTGCTTTGTGGTGATGTACTAACCAAACTCGAGCTCGTCCTTTTCTTGCTAGACTGCCCCCTTTAATTCGTTTCCGGCGTTCCCTCGTTTCTCGACCTGTGTGCCTCAATCTTAGTGCCAATACATATAGTCATTCTAACTCATTTTCCAGAGTTCATGGCCTTGCAAATTTGACGTCCTTCATGCCGATGGTCTTATAAAAAGCTTTTGGTGATCCGATTAGCTTTATCGTTCAGTGATGCCTCAGTTAATAAGGCCACCTTTCCTTAGCAGGCCCTTGTTCCAGTCCCGGCAGACAGATTTAGTCTTGTTTCCAAATATTTCAAACTGCCCCCTTCGGCCTCTTGTGTCTTTTCGTAAGATGTTTGTTTTGAGAGGTTCTTCTGTGCTTGAAAAAAAAAACCATATTAAAGGCGTACAAAAATACACTGCAAAAAAAGTCGAGTAGGCTCAACTAAAAATATTGAGTAAAACGTTGAATCCACAATGACTACACATATTGAGTAAAATGAAGTGTCAGTCATGAGTAAACCATACTCAATAACGGGAGTAAAAATTACTCACGTTTGAGTGCAATAACCCAAACAAGAGTAAATTCCACTCAATGCTCTGAGTACACATTACTCATCTGTGAGTAAACCCAACTCAATATAATGATTAACCTGGCTCAAGCAAAGTGAATCCACAGTAACGCATTATTTTGAGTAAACGGACAGTTTACTCAATGCGTGAGTAAAATACAGGCAACATATAATGTAAAAAAACACACAAGAATCATATCCCAGTTCTCATTTTAATGCATATAACTGCTATTTATAATATAGTGGAGAAGTAACAACTACACAAATCCGTATTCACCTGTATAATAAATATTTTATTATTATTAAAAAAATACTCTCTGACTAAATGCAAAATCATAGGTTTTGATTCAAAACAGTAATAATATTAAGATTTTGTAATAATGCACATATCAAATATAGTCCTGGAAACGGGTTCACTTAAGTACTTAGAGAAGCAACAACCCCTACACCTCTGATATATACCAACCAAGTCATATGTAACTCGATTTATAGAACTTATGTGCCAAAATAAAGATGTCTAATTATCAACCTTTCACATTGTTTAAAATGTTAATAGATATTTCAGCAACATGCAAAGCAAGTAGTGTCCAATAGCCGGGGCTAGTAGACTTTGCTATTGGGCAGGTGAATTAACTCACCCGACGGGCAAGTTGAGTTACTTTTTGCGGAAATCAAATTAACTAAGACTGTGTATTAATCCTCCTAATGAGCAGGATTAATACACAGTCTCATATATCAAAACGATTTTGAGGCTAGTTGACATAAATATTTTGAACAATATACCTCGCAAGAATCTAGCAAAAAATTCATTTTAATCTCTATGGCAGTAGATCCATGTTTGAATCTACTGGCCTGTCTGCTGTATTACAATGTAGAAAAATCAAGTTATTAATGTTATCGGGTGACTTGAAATAAGTGCTACCCTACCCAAGGTATTGTAATGCTTTCACTGTATGATATGTATAGGTAATAGCATGATTTGTAGTGATATTCGGCATAAATAGCTCGAGTGATATTTCAAAATTGTTAAACGTAATTTCACAAGCTGTTAGGCGAGTGAAGTTTGAGACAATTTAGAAATGTCACGAGTGGTATTTATGCCAAATATCACCTACAAATCATGCTATTATTTGTTTATACTACTACCCGCAAAAGGTTTGTAATTTTCACATGTAGGTATTTCAAATTAAGCTGAAATACCACTGCTCTAAGCCAATCAAATTGCAGAAATTTCTCAAGTAGTAGTATAAGTATAGGTAATGGCATGATTTGTAGTGATATTCGGCATAAATAGCTCGAGTGATATTTCAAAATTGTTAAATGTAATTTCACGAGCCGTTAGGCGAGTGGAATTTGGGACAATTTTGAGGTATCACGAGTGGTATTTATGCCAAATATCACCTACAAATCATGCTATTATTTGTTTATACTACTACCCGCAAAAGGTTTGTAATTTTCACATGTAGGTATTTCAAATTAAGCTGAAATACCACTGCTCTAAGCCATCAAATTACAGAAATTTCTCATGTAGTAGTATAACATGGTTAATTACACTTTGATAGGCTATCAAGTTCATTCACTAAACTGATGACAGAGCCTGGAAGCTTCTGTGCATCATTAATGTGCAGAACGCACTTTTGTAAATACAAAAATAAATTTTTCAACCCAACAGGGTAATTGAACATAAAAACATAGTAACTGGCGAGCAATCCACATGCTGCCTCCACAAGGCTGCCAGTAAAAGAGCATAACAACTGCTTGTCAGCTGCTAAATGAATTTGCCCAGGTGAATCAAGGCTGCCTTCAAAAATGATAAAAGGAAAAGAACTTTGAAGAGCCACACTTTTTGCTGTTGTGCTATTCACATCCTAAAAAAGAAAACAAATCAGTTGGTTATGATTTCATCTTCAAAAGCCACTGTTATAAATCACAAGTTTCCATTATAATGGAAAAGCCAATTAAAAAGGATCAGTACGTTCATGGAAGACACAAAATTAGACAACTAAAGCATTTGCAGCGTTGACAAAGCCCAGGATTGTGTTTAATGCAGCACACTAATAGAAATGCTCCTTAACCATAGTCAGTACATTCTAAAATAATATTACGCGTGTGAGAAAAGTGATGATAAAGATGATAGTAATGATGATGATAATGATGATGATAATGATGATAATAACAACTAGTAGTAACTGAAAATTAGGGAAGTGCATCCACAGTCAGATAAGGGTTATGTTTGTGCAAAAGAGGCTTAACTATCTATTGCTAAACATAGACACCAGTTCCGCACGAAAAAATGACCCTGAAATATCTGTTGGGCTAATAATAGTGAGTCTGATATAGAAAAAAGTTCCATGAGAGAACGTGGATTCCAACTGCACCCTTTGAACACAAATGATGATGATAGTAATAGTAGTAAGAACAATAATGAAGATCGAGGAGGGTGTTATCCATCAAGGCCGTAGGCCAAGGCAGATAGCACCCTCCGAGATCTCCATAATTCTTCATGAGATACTCAGCCTCATTCATTAATTGTTAATTAAGTAATGTTCATCCATATAATTAGAATTTATCAACTTGAATCTGATGCTCGCTATAAACATGATATTAAATCTGTCATAAAATCGTATACTACTTACAGCAATAAAGTGAACAAAGTCCTGCTGCTGAGACTGTCCTCCTTTAGATGTCTGTTTAAGCAAAAATGGAAGGACTGCCATGGCAACCTCTTCTTTTTCCTCTGAGAAAAAACAATGATAAAAAAGACATTAATTTTATTCAGTCAGCATTTGAAACAAAGGAGTGTCACCAGCTGGGGCATAAAAATAATAAATTTCATTGTGACAATTATTGTAACAATATCATTTTTTTTTATCTTCATGAAGTAAATGCCAATGAAAGCACCATGAGCCTCCCTTCTGCATCATCAATTTTGTGTAATGCTAAAATAAGTTTTTTGGCATGCAGGAAGGCCCACCTATTCAAGGGGGTACTAATGTGAGAGTTTACAGTATTTTAGTAAGCATAATATTATTACAATCATTTTAAGATTCATACCTGTCAAGTTTTCAGTTTCATCGTCATCATTAAACTCTCCCTCCAAGAGTTGGAGGTACTGCTCCATTCCCAAACAGTTTTTCCTGCCCTTTCTGGCTCTTCCTAATTCAATTATTTGGTCAGCAACTTGACTCAAGTTAGACCGAAACGTGTCCAGAATGCTTGTATTTATGCCTAATATCCTCTCAAATTCAGTGACAATCTGAAATCACAAAAGATAAAGCAGTCCTGCTACAGTGAGGAGCTTTAAAAAAAGTATTATCAAATATCAATATTATTCTACCAGCCCGTTTCCATAGCAAATAAGGGAACATCAGTTGAGTGTTTCAAATTATTATGGAATTAGTGTGTAGAGAGTTACCCAGCTAGGAAGTTCTTTTGGATCTACTTCTGCTCTCTCTCTTATGAAAGTAGTCGGGAGTAAATGCTCATAGTAGCCTGGGGAGGGGGAATTCCCTAGCCACCGGTGCTGTGTGACAGTCCCTGATCAGTAAGAGAAACTTAATTTAAAAAAAAGAACATAATACCTGTTTGAAATCAAATAAAGCAGGGTATTCTGTTCTCACTTCTGTTAGGGGCACATTCTTGTTCATTAGCCTCCGTCTGTCTGGGAAGGTAAGACTCATGCGCTCTGCCACTCTCTTCAGATCAGGCGTTCTTCGCATGCACTCATTCTGCAGCCACTCTTTATGCCGCTTCAAGGATACCTCATCTTCTCCCTCTGGAAAAGGTGGCTCCCAATTGATCCCACCCCTTCTCAACTTCAGTGCCACAGGCTGCACTTCTGACCCGTTAGTTTTTCTCCTTTTGTGGAGAATTACTTCAGGGGCATCAGTTATACCTTTCCGTTCGTTTCTGAATTTGTCATAGAGCTGGGCAAACCAGGAATCCTAAAATTCAAATACAAACATTTTTGCATTATAACCATTTTCTGAAGTTCAGGACTAGGTGTTTTAATTGTCAGGGTGGGGGTTTATAGTGGACTTCTAAACTTGCTAAGAAAGCACAGTGGAACCCTGCCTTCTGGCGACCGCTGTACTTGGTGTGACATGGTCACACTGATGACTTAAGGTTACCGTGTTCATTGAGCTCTGTAATTTACTAATCAAACTAGCGATTTGTGTTTAATTCTTTCATGAAAGGGATTACCCAAGCTCAAAGCCATTTGCTGGTATCCAGAAGAAGCCAGTGGAAGGTGACCCTTTTCTTTTCAAAACTTGAACAATATTATACAGTGATGTTCATGTGGAAAATTGAGAGAAAAGAAATTGAATTGAATTGAAAAGTCAGAGAGATCAGCATGTCCATTTTCAGAATCACAGTAAGCTGAACTGATTCTTACTTTGCTCTCAAACAACAGTACACTGTACATGTATTGTGGGGTTTAAAAGTCAAATTTTAATTTAGTCAAATTGTCTTTTGTAATCAGTGAGGTTTTAAGTGGTTTTTACAGTAAAATTATCACTCTATGAATATCTACATAATTTTCAGTTGTTCTACATCTGTATATTGAAGAGAACAGCTGTTCAAAAGTGCAAAATAAGGTGCTAAGTCTTGATCTTTGCCCCTGCCCAGTAATACCCATTAAATGGTTTCTGTCTTATCAGAGTTCCACTGTATCATAATTCAATAGAATTATTAAACAATAATTTCGGTTCAATAACTTCCAAACTGTTCTGGGTACTCAAGGAAGGATATTTTTAATGCCGGAAATGCGTTTATGTAAACTTACATATCCAGTCCCAACAGATGTGTCCTTAAGGAAAGGAAATGTCTTAATTATAAGCTGGGAAATTTCCAGCAGCTGCTGTTTTGTAGGATATCTGGGAAAAAAAATTAAAGGCATGTGAGAAAATTAAACAAATGGCTTCTCTTTGTCCTAAATGTTCATCACTTATCCTCATTTTTGACCTGCCGTACTTATGCCAGTATTGTATTTCATAATTATTTACAAAGTCCAATATCTTTGAAGGCAGTCTTGCCAGTTTTTCACCCATTTTTGTTAGAAGTTGTGCATATACATTTAGGTCTACCCTATAGGTTGAGTAGTAAGTACCTTATTGAATGGTTTAGAGCAAAGTATCATGGATGTTTTAACTTTATTGTACAGACACCCTAAAAGAGATACAATGTCAAACTTAACAGAACATAAACTTACTTACCTTATTGCTAAAAGTAGATACATTATTCCAGGAGGTTTGTTGCAAACAATTTAATCAAAAGTAATAATTTTAAGTTGATCATGTTTTCAGTCAAGCCAGGTCCAGTGACATACTTCCATATAATATGTACATTTTGTTCTGTAAATGATTACCCGAAAATAAACCTCTTGGTCACTGAAACTCTTTTCAAATTCTAATCTACATTCATAAAAGCATAATTAGCAGTGAATTTTAGACTACAGTAATAATAAAATTAGTCTTCTAATTGAAGACTTCAATAATTATTATTTCTGTAGTCTACAGGGTTTCCTGCAGAAAGGGCGTAATTCGCCTATCAATAATAGGCAAATTATGCCTTTTTTGTAGGAAACCCTTGCTCTGATTATGGAAACAGTTCAGAAAGGAAGCTGAGAAGAATTTCACACTCATAGTGTATGCGTAACAGATTGAGTATGTGTTACAGGTCAAATTTGATTTCAGGTTAAATATTTTTAACCTTGGTTGATTCTCATTTTACTTTTTTTCCTAACCTATTTACTCATGAATTAGAAACAAAGGAAATTGAAAATCAACCTAGGTTAAATCAAAATTAACCTGAAATCAAATTTGACCTGTAACATGATACGCATGGCAGATTCAATAAATTTGCAATAATAACTATTGTATCAATGGACTCTATGGGGGTATGCTTGCCCTGGCTTGGCTGTAATCAAAAGTGGGAGGAGAACAATGTAGAATTTATGGTAAATAGCAAGTGTACACTTACTCAAACTTCCCAAGATTGCTAATCAAATAAATCTACTGGATACTGAACTCCACTGTATCATTATCTACTTACAGGGTATATCTTGAGAAATGTTCATAAATTCTTGAAACAAAGCTTTTTCTTAGCTTTCTTGTCAACTTTGTTCTGTCTTTGTCCTGCAACAGCTTTGTCACCTCTGGTCTATACGAAGTGGGCAAATCTATAGTTGCAGGCCAAGGCAGTTTAGCATTAAGTACAATAGTTCCAGTGTCTGTTTGAGCTGCACTGACACATGGCCGCTTCCTTAAAAAGGAATAGGAGAATACAAGTCAACTCCACATTTTTTTTCAAAATTTATTTTGGACAACAGACTTAAATGATAGTAAAGCACATGTCAAAAAAAAAGTGTGACTATAAAAGTACTGCTAAATGTCTACTAAAAACAGTCAGACATTACGTAGTGGCCAGTAAACAAGACCTGTTCAACAAAATTTTCAATGAATCACTATAATAGTGGCCAAAATATATTTATTTAAAACAGTCACTTGTCCATTTGTATAGGGTGGCCACATAAGAGAAGCTTTGAGTGTACTTACACTTCATAGTTATTTGTACTCAACTGACAGTGAATTCCAAAATTACTATCAAAAATGTACTCCATAACAAATTGAGGAAATGAAGTTCTACAATATTTATTATATACTCCTGTTTTTGGTATGTTAACTGAACTTCTCAACAGGAAAATTTAAAATAACACTACGCAGCTCAGCTGAAGTGCACCTGTTTGAAACAGGCTTCAGACAGTTTCTTGCAAGCTCTTTAAATGGGCGATACTTTGTATACTTATAAATACTTGCAATCACTACCCCAAAGGAATACATGTCACTCAAAATTGATTGAGAATGAGATCCTTCAATGACCTCAGGAGCAATGTGACAGTGCTCTCTGTAGTACATAGCTTTTTCTTCCTCTGTCAGGATTTTCTTTTTTGCCCGAGTAAGTGGACATGCCTTTCCAAAATCAATTAGAATTGGGGAGAAACAGCCTTTAGAATTGCATACAATTACAATATTATCATTCTTAATGTCATTGTGAATAATGTCCTTCCTGTGAATGTAGCTAAGACAGTCACAAAGCTGTGTTAAAATATGAAGCCAGTTCTCTGAACTTTCTATTGACACCTCAGCCTCTTCTTTGATGACACCTCTTAATGTTACTGGCTTGAAGCTTTCACTACCATAAAATTGTGTGACAATAAAAAAGGGTGCATGGGTGTTGTTCATCCCATATATCAATGGCAGGTTAATATGGCAACACTGTGCTAAAAATGATGCCTCCCTTTCCACCAATTTAGGTGTAGTGGAGGAATCAAAATATTTGACAGCTACTGGAGATGACCTAAACTGTTTCAATACCACTGTGCCAAATCTTCCTCTACCAAGTTCAACTGATGGGCCATCAACATCTTCCAGCATAGAAGGATCTATCTTTAAGATTTCTCTATTAGAACCTGGCTCCTTGGTTAACCTTTGCTGAAAACCTCGAAAAACGGACTGAGATGTTTTAATTCTATCCTTTTCTTTTTCAGATGCTCTCCACATCTCAAAGTATTTTTCCTTTATATTTGTCTCCATATTACACTTTTTGGTTAGTGAGTCATTGTCATTTTTGAGTTCTTGGATCAATGTTGTTACTCCTCTTTTCAAAAGCTTTCTTTCTTCTCTTTTTCGCTTGTTGCGGGCCAAACGCTGTCTTCTTTTACTTGCCAGAGAGTGTTTTGATGGCTGTCTCTTTCTGAAATTTATATAGTATAAATTTATCCATGTCCCCTTTAATGAGCAAACTTTTGGTAATATCTACTCAAAAGGGGTGCTGGTAAAAGGTGAGGATAAGCACCTTACACAACAACAGTATCTGCACAAAGACAAATTTATACAAGCCTTAATTATGCCCTTACAGTCCTCACTGACAAGCGTTAAGATACACTTGAGTGAGTTATTGGTTAAAGGCGGCTTATGCCACCCTACTCAACAGCAACTTTACAGGCTGCAGTGTAAAACCATAATTAAGGTGTTCCAAACAAAGGCTAAGTAAAGTATTTTTTTAACTCAAGTTTTGGCTTGCAATAATACAGAGAAGAAGCCTTAAATTTGGAAGCATAAATTAATGTTCCAGAAACTTTGCACTGAATGCCTGCCCCTGTTTAGCACAACTTGCTTTTCCCCCTATATATGCTCTTTTTTTAATTAAAAAAAGTGCATGCAATCTGCATACATGTTAAGTCTATGTGCATACCTTGCATTTTGTGCAGTCTCTGGCTCCTTGCTTTGTGAACTCTCTGCAGCCACATCACCAGCAATGGTGACCACCTGGGTCTCATGATCAGGCTGGTTTGTAGCAGCTGTATGCGTGGTAGAGGCAGCAGCCGTATGCGTGGTAAAGTCGCCTGAAGTTGAATTAGCTTTATTTTGTTTTAAAGTACCCAGCAGCTTAAGGAACTTCATTCTGTGCCCCATGACTGGAATTAGTTCTTCAGCGGCCCTTTCAGTGAGGCATAGGAGTGCTTCACCATCTATAAAGTTCTCTGTGAACACAAAAGCACTTAGACTTAATGAGATTCGCAGTTGGGGGTTTTAAGAGTTGAACTATTTCATACCGCGTTTATGCAAATTCGCCTGTGAGCAAAAGAGAGGGCCGCGAAAACGAACATCAAATCCAATAAATTAGATCACTGTACTTTGATATCGACAGCAGGGCACTGAGGTCCACTGAGGGTTATTTAGGGCACATAAACCTCTTAACGTTAACAATGCATTCCAACGGTTAGGAATGTAAGGTCTTTATTTCTGTCCACTTACCATGAAATTTAGAAGCATATTCACCAAAACCCTTATCGCTCAACCATGACTGAACCTCGTCAATTGATTTCTTATCCATAGCCATTTCCTATCCGATTGTAGGTGAAACACGGGGGAAAGCAAACGATGAACTGCAGTAAAGTCTAACCCAAATAACTTGAGCGTGAGCGCGGAAAAGACCGAATTACTCAACGACAAAGCAATATCGTTACCGTTTGGCGCGCTTTTCTGCACAATCTATTGGCTGTAGGTTCCACGTGATGTTTGTTTAAACGTCATGTGAGTGAGGTGCTTCGTGACGAAAACGTGACGTTCCTTCTGTTTCGCGCGAAAATTTGCACGAGTCAGCGATTGATTTAGTTTGCAAACCTTCACAACGTGTGCTTTTATTTAAGCCCTACATGTATTCGTGCACTTTTTGCGCTGGTTTTCTGGGACATTCTTTTAAAAAGCTTCTTCGCCACATAAAGTTTATTCATAGTCACGAGCCAAACTTTTCAATAACGTGCGGTGATTGTGGTCAATCATTTCGTAAATTTAATTCCTTCAAGACTCATATTCGAAGAGAGCAGGCGAAGAAAAAACTTGAGCAACGTTTTATCGTGGAGGAAGCAAGCGACACCGAAGTTGACGAACATCAGGGTTACGAAAGCGATGATGAGCAAGGCCCTGAAGAAGAACAAAGCGCTGATACTCACGTTGGTGATATCACGAAGTTTTTAGCTTTGTTTATTTTGAAAACTAAAGAGGAAAACCAACTTAGCCAGCAGTCCATAGATTCTATACTTGCGAACACGGAGGATGTGGTTGAAACCAGTTTGCAGTATCTAAAAGATAAAATAAGCAATTGTTTGGCAGACAGTAATATACAAATTGAGGATGTAAATGGGTTGGCTGATGTTTTCAAGGAGCCATGCGTTTTTTCGCGAGCTAAGGAACCTCTGGCAAATGAATACCTGCAGGTCAAGTACTTTCTGGAAAACTTTGATTTAGTGGTAAGAACAAGATCGCATGTTAGCTTTATACTTTGTGTTTTCTTATGTCACCATGTATGCCATAATGATATTTGCAATCTCCACATTTAGATTTTGCAGTTTCTATTTTGGTGCAAATCGTAGGGAAGATAAGACATTTTTGACTCTCATGCAACCCCGTATATTTTGGTCACCTTTAGGCATCATGGACCAATTCTATTTTATAATTATACATTCTTTATGTTGGGAACTAATATTGTAGCCTTTCTTTAAATTATGAAAGGAGCCGCAGGAGATAGTCTTGAGTCAGCATGCAGAGTACCGTACTGTAAGAGGACGTCAAAAATTAAGGATTGTCAAGGAAACATTTCAGTACATCCCAATACTGAAGACTCTACAAGCTTTACTTAACCATCCAGATGTAATTGCAGAGGTAATTGGTTTAGTGCTTTAAGACGTTAAGAGTTTTCTTTTTGAGGCACGACAAAAATGCTTGTACTGAATGTTATTAAGTTGTAGTAATTAAAATGATACTATTCAGGTAGTACATGTATGTACAGAATTACTCTTTGGGAACAGCTCACATCCTCAGAAAGGTTCTGTCAATCAAGTGAACTCGTTAGTACCAAAGGACCATGGTTTGGCCCCGGTGCTCTGAAGACTAAATAAGCGAGTCAAGTATTACAAATTGGATAATAATAACAACAATTAATTAGTTAATTATTATTCCTAAATGGGGATAAGTAATTTATTTAGTGGATTGTGCTATCCAATTTTTTGGCACAAGTTGTTGTGCTGCTCAATAAAAATATGTGTATGATTGTATTTTAAACAGCAGTGTTTTTTTTGTAATGTTGTTTAAGGTAAGAAATCCCCACAATAGCACTGATGGACTTTTGAGAGACTTTTGTGATGGTGAAGATTTCAAGAGACATCCTCTTTTTGGACAAGACCCACAGGCACTTATTCTGCACTGCTACTATGACGACTTCCAAGTTACCAATCCTCTTGGATCAAAGACTAGAAAGCACAAAATAGGTACTTACACAATACGTAAAAGAAAATCAATAAAGCTCCAGATAGAAGACTAATATTATTTCTTGACTTTTGTGTCACTGACAAAAGAGACACTATAAAAGAGTTAATTGTGCAGTACTTTTTAAACTAATTTCTTGTATTTTGAAAGCACAACTTGTAGCTCTTGTACTTTAATCAACACATTCTCAGGGTTGTCACTAAGATTTCAAGTTGCCGGGTAAACACAACAAGTAGGCAGGTAATCAAACGGCTAGGGATTTCTTTTGGTTCTATTTTTCTTCTGTTTTCCAATAAAAGTAGCCGGGGGCCACTCTCTTAGTAGCCGGGGAAAATCCCCGGCCCCCGGCTCTTAATGACAACCCTGCATTCTTGTGTCATTTTTTCATCTTATAATGTAAATAATTTTATTATTACCAATAGATCTGTTTTTAGAAAGTATTTTTGTTTTCTGAACTGTGCTTCACAAAGCTGGGTCTTAGAATAGAACATTTCCTTGACATTTTGTACGTTTTAACATTTTTAATTTCAGCAGTCATTAGTCCTCAACAACAATATATATATTGCTTTGTGTCACTCCAGCAGAGCTCGAGGAAAATGCTTGCAGAGTCAAATATGTGAGAAAGAAATAAGTGACATTCTTGCACTAATAATACCCACAGGACTTTCTGTTCAACTTGCCAATATTGTGTATATGATACAAGTTGACATTAAATTCAGGTTAAAATTTTTTAACCAAGGTTGATTCTCAATTTCCTTTGTTTCCTAGCCCTAATTTTTCATGGATTAGGGCTAGGAGACAAAGGAAATTGAGAATCAACCTAGGCCAAAAAATTTAACTTGAAATCAAATGTGACCTGTGACATATATACTAGTAATGGTGTTTATGCCATTAATTTTGTTGATGTCTGTTTTATAGGGGCGTTCTACTTCAACCTTGGAAATCTTTGTCCACAGTATCGGTCGGTAATAAACATGATACAACTGGTGGCACTTTGTCCAGTTCCTTACATAAACACATATGGAATGAACAAAATTCTTCAACCGTTTATGAGGGATATAAGTCTTCTTGAGTCTGTAAGTAAAACATTAGTAGTCAACATTATTAAAACATTTTGTCCTGTTTACATGTCAAGTATTATCAACATAATACAAGTCTAAACTAGACAGTAGAAAACACCTGTCTCATTACTTTTATGATCTGCACTTTTTACTGGTTGTGTCCTCCTAACGATGGTAGGAAAATGATATTAGACAGCCAAAACAATGAATTTTGCCACCACACCACTGCATTTAGGCAAATAGATTGTGTATATTTGCATTAACCTATAGATTCGAAGGTCACTTTGTAATTGCTAGCAATAAGTATTGCTAGCACACTGTAGCGATACATAATTATGTATATGTTATGGTTCTGTTTTGTCTTCTCTTTAATTTTTTCTTTTCTTTTCTCTTGCAATATGGTAAAGTATGATAAGTTTTAAAACAAGAGATAAAAAAATTTAAACCAAGGGTAAAATTGAACCACAACATAACTTATTTGCATAGCTGATGATTATACAGACTGTATTTTATGACAATTACTGTACATAACATTTATCGCCATTTTCAGTAATATTATTGTTTAGTGTATTGTTTTAAATGATTATACTCATGGAGAATTAAAATAATTTTTTCAATTATTGAAAAAATTATTTAAAAATGTTCTTTGCAGGAAGTTGGTGTAAAGCTCAAAATAGATGGCCAAGATAGTGTATTTAAAGGAAGCATTGGGCCTTTAACTTCTGACAACCTTGGGGCACACTGTATTGGTGGATTTATTGAAGGTTTTAACTCTCTGAGAATTTGCAGAGTTTGTATGGGTACAAGCAATGACATTCAAACTAAGGTAGGTCAGGTGTCATTATCTTTGAAAAATAATTTAGTTTCTGCTGTTAGCTGTGAACTAATATGCATTAATTTATAACACATGTTGTGGTTAAATTTTAGCCTTAATTCTATCAATTCTATTTTCCTTTTCATTATTGTACACTGTAACACCCCAAAACAAAGAAATAATAACATAAAGGAAAACAGTTGTTAAACTGATTCTAATAATTTTATTATATAATGTTTATAACTCTTTCCAACATAAAGTTCACAGAAGAGCAATATCATCTGCGAACAAGAGTAAGCCACAATCGGCACTGTCAATTAGTTGAAGATGATGCGACATTATCAACAACTTATGGAGTTAAAAGAACATCGCTTCTTAATCAGTCCCGTTATTTTCACGTGGTGGATGGACTTGACCTTGACATCATGCATGACCAGCTGGAAGGAGTACTTCCCCTTGAGATCAAGCTGTTGCTCCAAGAGTATATTTCAGTGGAGAAGTACCTCTCACTTGACATTCTCAACAGGAGAATAGCTGATTTCGGTTATCCCTTGATAGATGTAAGCAATAAGCCAAGTGCTTTAAAGCAGCAGGCCTTGTCTTCTGATTCTGCCACTTTAAGTCAGTCAGGTACGTTTGAGACATTTTCTTATTCTTGCCTGTCAGTTTTTTATTTTCCCCTCTGACTGACAGAAAATCCCTTTCCAATGGGTAGTAACAACTAGCCCCTCAGCAAAAACATTAAGAAAAAAATTTTGGGGAACCATAGTCTTCATCGATATTAATACCTCTCTGTTTGCATGTTTTAATATTGTTAGCTTCACAGATGTGGTGCCTTTCACGAATGCTACCTATTCTTATTGGTGACCTTGTTCCAGTTGGTGATGAGCATTGGGAAAACTTTCTCCGCCTTCTTCAAATTGAGGAGATCATTTTTGCTCCCAAGACAAGCATTCAGCTGGCAGCATATCTTGCGGTTCTAACTGAGGAGTACCTTACTGGATTCAGTGAACTTTATGATAGGCGAATGATCCCGAAGCAACACTATATGGTTCACTATCCAAGGCAGATTGTAAGGTAAATAAAAGGAGTGAAACATTTTTCAAATATAGATAGAGAAAAAACCGTGATGATGGAGAAACCCATGGGATTTTTCTTATATGGATTTTTTGTATATGTTACAGGTCAAATTTGATTTCATGTTAACTTTTTTTGGCCTAGGTTGATTCTCAATTTCCTTTGTCTCCTAGCCCTAATTCATGAAAAATTAGGGCTAGGAAATCTTGGTTAGGAGTTCTTGTGATTCAGATACATTTCTTACTTACTAAATAGGATGTCACTTTCATTATTGTGTGGTCTACTGCGACAATAAAAACTGAGAATGTGAATGTCTTAATTTTTTGGCAGAAGAGGACCACTTGTGAGGAATTGGGCCATGCGATTTGAGGCTAAGCACAATTACTTTAAGAAGCTGGTTGAGAGAATTAATAACTTTAAGAATATCAGTTATTCTTTGGCAAGGCGCCATCAAGCCCTCCAAGCATATTTGCTTCAGTCCTCAACAGGAAGCTTCTTACGAATGACTCTGGATGTTGGACCAGGTACTTCAACAGAATTGTATTACAGGGCATAAATTTCCATCTAAATTCTATGTGGGACCACAAAATTGGCCAATTGCACTGTACATTGTATACTAACATCTCCGTCTTATGTGCTATCAATTCCCTAGGAAGAAAAACAACTGTTCTTGAAAGTGGTTATTTGGAGCACTTGCAAGAGATATATCCAGAGATAGCCGAAGAAAGCACACTAACAAAGTATGAAAGACAGTCAGTATTTAGTTTTTAAAACTTTCTGTTCTCATGCAATAAAATTTTTGTCCTTAGTATGAAAAATAAATTAATTACTTTTATTTTTATGTAGCAGTAGTCAATATTTGGGTGGAGGGGCAGGCAGTAAGTGCCCTAATTTGGCCTACTGAAAAGTCTTTAAAATTTATACAATAATTGTTATTCCACTATTAATTTTTAGCGGCTTGAACAGGGTGTAATTCTATACCAGAACCCTTAAACAGGGTGTAGTTTGCAGTGCTTGATCTGTATAAGTGGTACCTAAAATTTCTTTAAAACAATCTAACTCTATGATGTCAAGAATTAATTCTGTATGAAAAATGAAATGAATCAAGGCTGTGTGAACTGCCTACCTAAGGCCCAAGCAATATTCAGTTTAGGAATCATTGTTTTTTAAACTGGGATTTAATGGTTCTGGACTGGGACTCATGATTTTTCGCAAGATGAGTCCCAGGACTCGCATTAACTATTTGTAACAAAATTATTGATTATTATTTCTTTTTTTTTATGTATATTTATTTTCTGACAGAACCACTTGGGCAAAAGTTTATGGCACCAAATATAGCAGGGGCTATGCCATCATTGTTGACGTTCGGCATGGAATTCCAAGTTTTGGAGAAATAAAGGAAGTCCTCATTTTAGATGGAATTGAAGTCCTGTTGCAATATACAGCCTTGAGTGTCCTTGAATACGTCACTCATTTAAATGCCTACAAGGTTACACCAGGAAATAAAGTGTCCTACATAAAGCAAGCTGAACTTGTTGATTTCCATCCCCTTGGGAAGTGTAGAGGTTTTGGTTGCTATGCCAGTAATTTCTTTGTGGTCCTAAAATACAGAATTGACTGTTTGCAATAATGCATTTCATTGCATTGCATCGTTTTATATTGTTTTTAATTGAATTGAGTAAGTTAATTGAGTTAATTGTATTTCTTTTAGGAGTAAACTCATTTTCATGCATAGATCAACAATGTTCACATTAAGCACTGCAGGAGTGGTAAACATCAAGACACTTCAATAAAGTATCCATTTATCTACTCATACATACATAAGTAGTAGTTAAGGCTTTTTTTACAAGTTATGATCCCTGAGTATGTTTTACCTCATGCACAAAAGTAACTTTTCATGTTATTGTTATGGAAGGTTTACTTAATTTGGGTCTGAATGCCTCTTTTTGACTAGCTCAGGTTATGTATCTGTTTGCAGAAATAAAACAACTTACTCAGTACATGCAATCTGAGTGCTTCTTTAACGACTTTTCAATAATGAATTCTGCAATTTTGTTGAAAGTTGTTTCTTTCATCGTTTACTCATGGGTGAGTAGTGTTAACTCAGTTTTTTTGAGTAAACATACTCTTTATACCTTTTACTCAAAAGAACGAGTGTTTTCCACTCTCTATTTTGTGTTTGAGATTCTACTCCTTTTGCGAGTAATTGTACTCAATATACCGAGTAAAATGAGCCAGTTACGCAAAAGTGGGAGTGAGTTTTACTCAATCGAAAAATGGCATTTTTTGCAGTGTAGCTATAAGTGTTAAGGAACTTATATCCTTGTTACTTGTTCATAGGGTCCAGCACTTTATGCCTACAGCAACTCCAAATTTACCAAAGAAGATTGGAGAGGAATCCGATTAGTCTGTGACAGCATCAAAGTAGACGATCCCATGAAAGTTGGTCGCTTTGGTTTGGGATTCAAATCTGTGTTTCACATGACAGGTAAAGTAAATACTTTCCGCGTACGCGAAAGATTTTCTTTATTAATTAAGATATCTGGTCCAGAAAAGGTAAAAAAAAAAGTAGCGACCAATCATCCCCCACTTCAGCGTTGCGGGAAACCACTTGGGCTCGACGTCAGTGCGACGAGGTAGTAATTTGTTCGATTTACTCAAGGCTTACAAAACTGAGTTGTCAAATCAATTAAGGGAAAGCTACGATGGTTGAAGAAAGGGTAGCTGACAATAGTCTTTACAGGCCTTATCTAAACTATTCAATATGCCGTATTGAGACTTTATCAGTAGGAAACTGTCTGTAATAGAGAAGTGTCGCTCACATTTCAGCGGTGTCCGTAACAGAGAGGTGACAGTATGGCGAGGTTCGAAAGTGATGCATATTATTAAAGTTTAGTAATTAACTTTTACGTACGTAGCCCTTTCTCCCCTCAGATTTGCCAAGCTTGATCAGTGATTCGCGGATTGGCTTTATTGATCCTCATGGCGTTCATTTTCCGGACAGGCGTCGCATACGAACAGGGAAGTACTGGCGACTTGACGAAGACCGCGCGTCCATCGATGAGTTTTCAGACCAATTCCTTCCTTATAAAGGCATATTTAACTGCACAGATGAAGTTTTCTCCCAGGGATTCTATGATGGAACCCTATTCCGTTTTCCATTCAGAAGGGAACCCTCAGACCTTTCAGAAACACTGTACAACGAAGATAACATGACGACATTGTTTGACAGTTTCAAAGCCGATGCTTCTCTGATCCTCCTGTTTTTGCAGAGTCTGGAATCTGTTGAGCTGTATACCAGAGAGGAATCAGATTCCAGCCCCAGTAAAATCTTTCAAGTGAAGATTGCAGAGAAAAGCCTGCAAACAGTTCGTGCGAAGAGAAAGGAGTTTCGGAAGAAAATCACACCTGGGAAAGTTATGCCCGAACCAGTCACAGTGAGCTATCCAATGACCATTGAAACAACTAATTTTGAGACGCACTTGACAGAGAAACACTCATTCTTTGTTACAAACTACTTCTGTGGTGGGCAAGTATCTTCAACGTTCAAAAAGTTGATGACAGATAAGGATCTCAGATATCTCCCCACAGTTGGTGTTGCCATGGCATTGCCAGACGGTCCACAGTTACAGACGCCTGATATCCAAGGCCACGTCTATTGTTTCTTGCCGTTACCAGTCCAGACGAAAAGCTTAACTGGTTTGCCAGTGCACGTTAATGGTTCCTTTGCCTTGAGTCAAAATAGGCGTTACATCAAGTCTCCGAATGCAGATCAAGAAGAACGCCAGAAGGCAGGACGGAAGATGACTGATAAATCCTTGTTATGGAACAAGTGTCTCCTCGAAGAGGCCCTTCCTAAGGCTTATGCCACCATGATTTTGGAAGCCATAAATGAGAAGTCTGTTTTCATTTCCAAGACAGCAATCTATAAGTAAGTTACATGTTTTAGTACATCGAAATACGGCGCCCTAATGAAATTTGTTCGCTACTGGTTTTTTTTTTTTTTTGCAGAAAACAAAGTAATCTTTTTAAAGATAACTTTGTTAATTAAAATTACTTAAAAGATTTTACGGATATTTAGTGAAATAGGAGAAAAGGCTCTCCTTCTGACGTTTACACGAGTTTGAACAAGTAAAATTATGCAGATTAAAGAAAGATCCAATTCCCAGGATAGAAAAAACAACTTCTTATACACAAGCTTTCGACTCCATCGCGGAATCTTTATCAAGTGATGGAATGGGACGTTTTGTCGCGTTATTTATACTGTGAATCACGCGACAAAACGTCCCAGTATACGTAGAACGTAGGGAGCTCGTAACCGCCATCACTGTTCAATGTTCTTGAAGCCTGAAAAAAATATTTCGATGACCTATTTATTTTCTATATTTTACTTCTGTTGGCCCCATGGATAGTGTCTTCATCCTTCATTGTCTTTCCACTGCTATCCTGACTGAAGGTTTTTTTTGGCAAATTTACTTTCTTTAACTCCATCTTAAAATGAGAAAAAAAGATAAATTATGAATGATAATCCATAAAATATTATATCAAGGCGTTAAAGCTTTCGCAGATTTTGTTCATGAAAGGAAAACCTTAGACATCATCATCTTGTGTATCTGACAAAAGAAGTTTTCTAATGTGACTAGAATGGATACCAAGTCAGATTGTCATCTTCACTCAAAATACATGACAGGAGTCTTATAACTTAAAGTAGTAAATAAGAGAAGAAAGAAAACAGTAGGTAGTATGTAGGACTTGAACCAACGTCACTTAATGTATAATCCATATCCGTATCCACTACACGTATCCACTACACCATCAAGGGCTAACTGCCGACACCGGTTAATTTTAACGTACTTTACATGGCATTGATCATTACACTATTGAAAGCTAACCGTTTTTTAAACAGTCCTTAACCCTAATCACTGTACTTCGGTGCTAAACCCTCTATTCAACCCTTTTCCTTGTACAACTGTCTTTTACTCTGATTTCCCCACTCTTCTTCACTTCTTCACTCCTCCACTCTTCTTTTCAAGAATGTGCCCAATAAATTCGCATAAATATAGTATAGCGTGGTATAGAGTATAGCGTTATGTCATAAACATAAGGTGTCCAGCCTGATTTTAAGTTATCCATTCTAGTCACAACCGTTTTCTGATACTCACTGTGGCGTGATTATAAATTAAGTAAGTATTTGGTCATTCAGTCAATTAAGGGAAAGCTACTATGGTTGAAGAAAGGGTAGCTTAGCACCACCCACAGCGTAAGTGTGATCCATTTTTGCTGTTATTCAGATGAAAACTGTTCTGTAAGACTATTGAACAAATTTTCTTTATTATAATCCAGTGCATCTTGAATCCAATACAATTTTTCAACCTGACCTTCTTGGATTCTAATTACACTGATTTGCTCTTAATGTCAAAATGAAATGCCAAGAATGTTCTTATGGAAGTTAGGTCTGTTCAGAAAAAATATCAACTAAGAAAATCAAAAAGGCCGAATTTGTCTGTTTTAATAATATTATATAACAGAAACAATCTGAGATAGTAAAGGCGTCACGAAAACAAGGTCAGGCGAAAATAAAACGCACTTGATGTGGGTTAAAGGGAGCCGGTGGTGCCATTAAAGCAGCCAAGTGTTTTACAGGCTGCAAAACAGGGCATTGACAAAGCAGGAGTCGCAATCAGTACTCTATTTTTCATCTCCTTTCAGAGCTTGGCCTGACATAAAGTCTATAAACAAGCAGTGGAAAGGACTTGAGGAACCTTTGTTTCAGTTACTTTTGGCAAAGAACGTTGTTCACACAGAAGCAAAAGGTGGTAATTGGCTGGCCGTTTCAGAAGCGCTTTTTCAGCGTCGAACAGACGGCGAACAACTTCAACTGCTTCAGAAGGTTCTGCTATCCATCGGTGCCCCTACTGTTACTGCACCAAGTCATGTACTCCGGGCTCTGGATGCCTATGCATTAAATCAAAACGAAATCACGCCTTCTTTGATACGACATGTGTTAAGGAAGGTACCCTTATGCTACACAAGGCTTGAGAAGACAGAAAAGCTGCTGCTACTTCAGTTCTGTCTCAGTGATCGTGCTTTTAAGGATCTGGCTAGCTTGCAACTTTTGCCATTGGCCAATGGAACGTTTGCCAAATTTGATAGCAGCGCTACGACAGTTTACATAACCTCTCCAGAACATCCTCAAGAACTGTTTCCAGGCACACCTGAAACATTTTTGCAGAACGACTTGGACGAAGATATTCTTCAAAGACTAACAAGCGCAGCTTCTGAAGGTAGGCTTCTCATAACATGAGTTATTTCTCCGGATACCAGAATCAATGTATAGGCCAGGAAGGCACAAATGAGCGCTGGAGCACACCCTTTCTCATGGTGAACAAAAGTTCGTTTTTTATGCCGTATTAAACCGAAATAATCTGGATTCTTCAATTCTACTAATGTAATCAACGCCTACAGTAAAATTTATTTGGATTTACGCCATTTGCGAAAGGTTGAGGATGGAAATGAGCGATAGTGATGACGTTTCGATGATGCCATCTCATCATTTTCATTCTTAATTCCGTGATGTCATTGTTTAACGAGATACGCGCCGAAGTTTAGTTGAATGTGATGAACTGAGAAATACAATATAATATGTAAAACTTGTTGATTATCAGGTAAATAGCTTACTGTTATAAAGTCAGAGTGGCTGTTCTGTTGAGGTTTCTTTTCTCTGGGTTTCCATCAATGTACATTTTTCTTCGTTTAAGCGTTTCGAAAAGTTTCCTAAATCAACCGCAGTACAATAAAAGATTGAAAAGATTGTTCAGCGGTTCAGTTCCTTTTTTGAAACTTGTCTTGATAATCAGTCATACTTTGCCTTTGGTTTTTAAAACGAAAACACCAATAATAAGGTCTTGGACGTGCTAATCAACGTGTTTTATAATTACATTTAAATACAACAGGACATACTCAACTACAGCTCCTTAGAAGCCAACATGTACCTGAACTTCTTGGGCAGTCTCTGCCGCAAGACTGGAAAAAAGGCCACTCCGTGTTGTGGTATCCAGATAGCCCCAGTTACCATCATCCTTCAAGAGCGTGGATCCAGTTACTTTGGAATTATCTGCAGCGGTATTTTATGAATAAGTGGGATATTCGCCAACTCGAAGGACTACCTCTAATCCCGTTGAGTATGTCTCAGACACCCGTTACCTTGACCCGTCTCTCCCGCCCAAGTAGTATTGTTTTGAAACAGTATAATGAAGAAAGTATTGATGAGAACTTGGCAAATGTGTTAAAAAGGCTCGGAATTATTGTACTGCATGACCTACCGACGTTTATAAGCTACCATCCAGCTGTCATGGGAACGTACGTGAATGCACCAACTGTCCAAGGTGCTCTGAAAGCAATGATGACAATGAAATCTACCTTGCCACCAGGAAGTTTTTCTGAAATCCTTCAAAGAGAACTTTCAAAAACAGAAAAGCTTACCCTCAGGTCCTTCCTTGCAAATATCAGCCCCTTTGACATTGACAAGGAAGGTTATAGAGTCTTCTTGTGTTCCTTACCAATTTTCGAGACACTCTACAAGAGGTTTGTTTCAAAGAATGATGGCTTGAAAGCAGCCCCTGCCGAGGCCCTTCCAGTCCCTCCACCGCACGACCTTATTGATATTTCCAACGACGAATCCTGGACTCTGGCACAAATACTTAAAGTCAGGATTTTACAGCCCATTGAGGTCATCTGCGAGATAATGTTTCCCGGAATCCATGAAGGAAACTACGATGAAGATCAAATTGATGAAGTGATGCTCTATGTTTTTGAACGTTTTACACATATGATCCGTAAAAACGCTAATTTTAAGTGGCAACTGCAAGCTCTGGCCTTTGTCCCAAAGCAGACAGAACGGGTTAGAGCATCAGATGTGTTTGATCCCCGAGACACCACACTGAAAAAGATATTTGCTGAAGAAGATGTCTTTCCCGCAGGTGAGATGTACAATGAACCAGCTACCCTCGTTATTTTGGAGGTACTTGGAATGAAAGATGAGTCCAACATCAGTGCTAAAGACCTCTTTCATAGTGTCAAACAAGTTAACAGAATTGCGCATCACCTAACAGCAAGACAGAAATCTAAGGCAATCTTATATCATCTAAACACTCACCCTAAAAAACTGAAGAAAAGAGTCGATGGAACAGAGCTGGGACTGCTACTCATGAAAATGCAGTGGGTGCCACGATTGCAGCAGAAACAATCAAGTTTTCCTCCTTCGCTTCCATGGTGCAAAACTAAGAAAGGAGCGCAGTGCTTTTTCAAGCCAACCGAGCTAAAGAGTCCTACCCTGGTCAATCTCATAGGATCTGTTAGACCCGTTGTAGAATTAGAGCCACTTAAGGAAGTGTTCGAGTATTTTGGCTGGCAAAAATTGCCAGATGTCTTTGATGTTGCATTGCAGTTGAGAAATGCAATAAGTTCCTATTCCAAAGACGAGAAACCATATTACATGGTTATCTTAAGCGAAATCTACTCTTACCTCAGTCGTGCAAACTACCAATCCTTAAGTCTGGCATTTCAGGAAACGAAAATCGTCAACTGGGTATGGAACGGAGATGGTTTTTCCTCACCTAATCAGATCCTTTCGGGTAAACTACGTATTGATCTTACACCCTACATACACCCCCTTCCCTCAGAGATGATGAAGTTCACCCTCCTCTTTGAACGGTTTGGGGTCAAGACACATACTGATCCAACTGTCCTATTGCAAGTTCTCTGCGCAATCAAAGAAAAGTATGACGTTGAAATGGCCCCATTATCCGGTGATGAAGTGCACCATGACCTACAGTTATCAGTTGGCATATTAAATGAGTTGGCACGAGAAGAATTACTGCCTGATATTCAAGAGAGGATTGTTATTCCTGTTTATATCGAGGACAACAAACATGTATTACTTGAGCCGGTCGAGCGCTGCATGTACAGTGAAAACAGTGAGTGGCTCATAACCGACGGCGAAGATGAAGACATGGAATACTTCTACGTGCACCCCGATGTTCCTAACCGTACTGCTCAACGTCTTGGTGTTCCTTCTCTTACAAATCGAATGTTGGAGCCTGAGGAGCTGTTCATAGGAGAAGAATTTGGGCAGGAAGAGAAGCTTACTACACGACTCAATCGACTACTAGACGACTACACAGATGGATTTGCTGTACCAAAAGAACTTATTCAGAACGCAGACGATGCTGGTGCTACTGAAGTTAGTTTTCTTTACGATGAGCGGACAAACGAGGGTGCCATGACCTGTCTAATTGACGAAGGAATGAAAGGATGTCAAGGTCCTGCTTTATGGGTCTACAACGATGCAACATTTCAAGATACAGACTTCGTTAACATCACGAAACTAAATGAAGCGACTAAAGTGGACGACACTGAAAAGATTGGTAGGTTCGGACTTGGATTCAATGCAGTCTACAACCTTACAGATGTCCCCATGTTCGTAAGTAAGAACTACTTGGCGATATTTGACCCCCACACATCTTACCTGGGAAAGGCGATCAGAAACATGAGAAGGCCAGGAATGAAAATCAATCTTAACAAAGACGTCAATAGACTTAAAAAGTTCAAAAACCAATTTAAGCCTTTCAATGGCATCTTTGGCTGTGATTTACATCTTGATAAACAGGACAACTCATTTGATGGAACGCTTTTTCGATTTCCTTTACGGACGAGGGATCAGGCTTCAAAAAGTGAGATTAAGGACTTATGGTACAACCAAGACCAAATGCGAGAATTGTTGCAAATGTTTCTCCAGGGCGCCAACAATGTACTTCTTTTCACGCAAAATGTTCTAGCTGTGAGAATTTATCACCTCCCAAACAAGGAAAGTGAAGATCCACAACCTGCACTGATTTTTCAGGTTACGAAATCTGCATCCCACGCTGGAATCTTAAGAGAGCTCTCCTTTACATTTACGCTTCCTCCAAATGCACTTAGCCTTAGTTCAGAGCAAATTAGTTTTCTCCAACAGTGTAACTTTCTTCAAGCTGCCTCAAAAGTGAAGAAGCTGGCCAAAGGAAAAAACGTAGACCCCAAAACGTTTCCAAAGTCGTCAATGATAGTTGCCGTCGACTGCATGTTAACTAAAAGTGGTGCGGTGTTCTTCAATGAGAGATTTCATGTGGAGAAAGTAACTTGGCTCATTGCATCGTCAATGGGTAATGGTCAGGCTCTGACATTTGCAAATAACGATGACAGTCTTCTTCCAGCAGCGGGAGCAGCCGTTCAGTTGCTGCCAGCAGACTCAAACACTTTCTTGCCCTCGCCGGTTGCGAAAACACTGGAAGGGTTGGATCTCAAAGGCAGCATATTCTGCTATCTGCCACTCCCAATTCACAGTGGGCTACCTGTTCACATCAATGGAGCTTTCGCCTTAGCCTCGAATAGACGCCATTTACAAATGAAATTGGAAGACGATAAGACGTGCCGTGGAGTGAAATGGAACAATATGCTACTGGAAGACTCTGTAGCATCTGCTTTGTTAGATCTTCTTGAAGACATGAAAAACCTTGCTCCCAAAGATGGCTCATACAAGTTTCACTTTCTATGGCCGAAAATGTCAGAAGTGCAACGAAACTGCTTGCCACTCGTGGTGTCTTTCTATGCACAACTCAGCAGGAGTGGTTATTCTCTTTTCTCTAATGGAGAGCATTGGGCTGACATCACGCAAGTTGTTTTCCTTGATCCAAATTTTCGGAGAAAGGCCCACATCGGTGAAGCGGCAAATAAGGTTCTAAAAATGTGTCACATTGGAAATGAAATAGTCATAGACTTACCTTCCGATATTTTGCATTCTTTTGAACAAAGTGGCCTGGAGAACGCAATCAATGCCAGGAAATACAACAGAAAGAGATTTTTTCGTGAAATTTTCTTTCCAAATATTGCCATCCTTCCAGCCTATCTAAGAGATGTACTGACTCTACATGCCTTAGATGACAAAAGTGGGGAGTTCTCTGGCTTGATAGGGCTGCACCCTTGTGTCCCATCTTCACCAACTGGTAACACTCTGATGACTCCTAGCCAACTCGTTCATCCCTACCGAGAAGCAGCGTCACTATTTTCCCCTGAAGATGGTAGATTTCCTTATGGGACTGCAGAATCGTATGTTCACCCACAAAGGCTGACCAAACTTGAAGAACTGGGAATGTCATCGAATGATCTTCCTTGGTCCGAGCTATCAGAAAGAGCAGAGAGCATCCACAAGCTAAATTTAGTAAGCAGTAAAGAGGCATTAACCCGTGTAATGGTATTGTTATCTTTCATGGAGAAGAAATTAATTCGCCAAGACAAACCTGTAACTCAGATTTCTACTCGCCTGTTAAACACTAAATTTCTTCCCATTCTTCAAAAGCCAAGAGAATTTCCTCTCCCGTGGAAAGGAGAAGAACTTATAGAAAATTCTCAAGTACTGCTAGCACCTAATGAAGCCTTCCTAGAGGAGGAAAAGTTCTTAGTTTGCTGCACAGAACCTATTATTGGGGTTTCAATTCCAGCAACATTGAGAAGCCTGTTACATCTAGATACAAAGCCAATCACATTTGAACAGGTGGTACAACAACTGACCGCTGCAGTGTCCGTGAAAGTAGATTTACTAAATACATCACAGTACAGGGAGCTAAGGCGGGTCTGTGAAAAATTGTATTCTTGGCTGCAGAAATCCCTTGCTTTCTTCGGTGGCAAAGAGAGAATTATAACATATCTTCGTGGAACAAGTTTCTTTATCGTTGGGAAAAGGTTTCTTCCTCCAACTCAACTTGCATTTAATTTGAGTGTAGATTGCTCCCCATATCTGTACCGGGTTCCACATGACCTGGCCATGGTTTTTACCCCATTATTGAGAGCGTGTGGCGTAAAAGATCAGTTTGATGAAGAAGATTACATTTCAAGCTTACACGACATGAAGAAACGATTTGGAGAAAAGTCATTGGATGAGAAAAGCCTTCAAGTTGCTACAAATCTCGCAAAGTTACTCGGTGAAACTGTCTATTCTGCCAAAACAGAACAAGCGGGGGAAAAGTTATACCTTCCCGACTCTAAGGGAGTAATGCACACAGTAGCGGAAATTTGTGTTAGAAACTGTCCCTGGTTACCAGATGAAGAAGGAGTGAACTTCGTAAATGACCTCATTCCTTGGCCAACATGTTGCAAAATCGGTGTTAAAACACGAAGACAAGAAGCCCTGCGGTACCATGTATTTGGAATACCCTTTGGACAACGAGAGAAACTCACAAGCCGCTTAAGACGCATTCTAACAGGGTACCCTTGTGAAAAAGAAATTTTGAAAGAGCTTCTGCAAAATGCTGATGATGCACAAGCAACTGAAATTTGTTTCATTAAAGATCCTCGACACCATCCGGATAAGAGAGTGTTTGAAGACATTTGGAAACCATTGCAAGGTCCTGCGTTGTGCGTGTATAACAACAAACCTTTCAGAAATGAGGACATCGAGGGAATACGTAACCTTGGTGAAGGCAGCAAAGGAGATGATCCAAACAAGACTGGCCAGTATGGAGTCGGCTTCAATGCTGTTTATCACCTGACGGATGTACCCTCTTTCATGACAAAAGGAAAGGACATCGGGGAAGTCTTGTGCGCTTTCGATCCGCATTGCCGTTATGTTCCTCGGGCAACACTTGAAGAACCAGGAGTGCTTATGAAGAACATCACGCCGCTAAGAAAGCGATTCCCTGATGTGTTTCCGTGTTACTTGGAGAACAACTTTCAACTTGAAAATGGCACAATGTTCAGATTCCCTCTAAGAAACAGACAGATGGCCCTGCATTCTCAAATATCAAACAGCCCAGTTACAGTAGAAATGGTCGATACAATGCTCGAGGATCTAAAAAAGGAATTGTTTGAAGTTCTCCTCTTCGTCAACAATGTTAAAAAGATCACAATCTGCGAGGTTCACAAAAATACTGGTAATCTCGTTAATGATTACTACGTCGAGACTTCAATGTCAAAGGAGGATGAAGACAAAAGAAGGGCTTTTGCCAAATACATCAAACAGATTGGAGAGAAGGTAAAAGAAAGAACGAATCTTCTTCCAAGTGATATTCCAGTAGCAAGAGTTTCTTACGTCCTAAATATTTCAGACAGTCTTGGTAATCAAGAGAAATGGCTTGTTGTGCAACAACTGGGTTTTGAGAAGACGGTAAAGAAGAGCATTAATGCAGCCTTCAAGAGAAATGAGCTGGGAATGCTTCCTCGTGGTGGTGTGGCCTGTCTTCTAGAAAAGCGGAATTCGATAGCTCCTGCCGAACGAAGGAAGAGAGCGTACTGTTTCCTACCACTTCCATTCGAAACAAATCTGCCAGTACACGTCAATGGCCACTTTGCTTTGGACCATGAGGCAAGACGGTATTTGTGGAGAGATGAGAGCAGTGGATATCGAAGTGATTGGAACAATGCCTTACTGGAGGATGTTGTAGCATCTTGCTATCTTACACTTTTGGTGGAAGTGCAAGTTTTTCTTAAATTACCCCTTGAAAACGCTGGAAATCCTTGCGCCGTGACCTGTTCAGAAAGTGAACTCTTGCAAAAATTCAATGCATTCGAACGGCTCTTCCCTCTTGAGCCTCCTCAAGATTCATACTGGAAGATACTGGTTGACTCTCTTTTCCACTGTTTGGCAATGAGACAAATAAGGGTTTTACCAATTATTAGAAAGAAATCACAGGGTGCAACCCATGAGTCATCCAAGAGCAGCACTTCTTTTGACGTAACATGGCTTCCGTTCAATGGGAGTGGAAAAAACCAAGCTCTTTTTAATAACATCGCAGAGAAAAGTCCATTTACCAAACCACAATTACACAATAGGCTAAAGGAGGTTTTACTGGAAAGTGGATTCAACCTTTGCGCTTTTTCCTTGGCACTGCATCAATCCCTTCAGCGCTCTGGTATTCCATCATCTTGTATTTCCCCCAGTTCTGTAATTGATTTCTACAAAACATTCAGTTCACGTGATCCGTTATGCGTGATTGGACCCATTCCATGCAACGTAAACGAAACCCCATTCAGAGATGCTCTCGGTGTCATTCTTGTTCTTCTTTACTGCAAAGGAGTGGAAAACTTTTATGCAGAGCTACCTGGCCTCCCATTGCTTTTAACAAAAGACAACTGCCTTCGACAGTTCTCAAGTAAGAATCCAAAGTTCCTCTCACGATTCCAAGACATATTGCCTGGCTCACCAGAAATTTTTATGCATGAGCTGGTTGAACAAAAAGTGTTCCAAGATGCCCTAACTGTGAAATCGTCGGTAGTGAAACCCCTAGGACTGCAAGGATTTGCAGCAAACTTACCTCAAACGCTAGAGGTTAAACAGTATGGACAAGGTCGTTCCGTTGAGTGGTTTCCCAATCAAAAAGGCATACCCAATCAGCGTTGGATAACAAGAGTCTGGTTTTTCCTTGGCCAACTACTTATGGACGAGGTCTTACGTGATCCAACGTTACCCCAAGAAACCAAGTCTCTACAAATTAAAGCCGCTCTTGGACCTCTCGCTAACTGGAGTATTCTCCCTTGCACTGAATCCAAAGAAGAAGAGACGAAGAAATCTCTGTTTTCGTTTTTTGGAGTATGTTCGTTCCCTCCTCTTACCCACGTTCTTGTGCCACTCTGTGAAGCAACAACTGTTCTCGATTTTGGAAGTTCGGATGCAACAAATCGTAAACTTTTGGATGTGTTACGAAGGCTCGGGCTACCTGAACTAAACTATGCTACAATTTCAACAAGTCTATCATCGAACCCAGTTGAACTTGCTCGTCTCATGGTCTCGTCTCTGAAGGTTCCTGCCTCTCTCCTGACAGCCCTTAGCCAGAAAATTGAAAAGGAGCCTCATCTGCCTCAAAGATTGGATTCTACGGAGCGTAGAGCGATTTTGGTTTATTTCAGCAGGAGTGTATCAAGCCTGCAAGATGAAGACCGAAGCAGGCTGAGAAAACTTCCATTCTATCAAGCAACGAATGGTGGTTTCATAGCACTTGGTGGAGATCGCCAAGTTTGCGTCCTTCCAGCTGGCATACCACGAAAAGATATCAATAAGTTGGAGCATCATTTACGCGTAGTATTTATCGAGACAGGAGAACTTCTCTCTGACTTATTCAAGTTCCTGGCTTTTGAATGCGTTTCCGCCGTTGACCTCTACTGCACCTACATTTTGCCTCACTTAGGTATTTTCGATCAGGATACAAGACAGACACATCTGGAGTATATTCGCAAAAGCATTTTGTCTGATCTTCTTTTATCGTGTGATGAGAAGCAAAGGCTGCAAGAGTGTTTGCGAAACACTCCAATCATTCCTACTGCAAATGGAACACTAAAAACTGCCTCATTCTTCTACGATCCATGCGTTGATGTTTTCCGCATCATGCTGTCGGAGAGCTGTTTCCCACCTGAACCTCTGAATTCACCTGAGTGGCTGGTTATCCTGAGAACGATTGGTCTTATTTACAAGGTTTCCCATGAACTCTTTATTCAATTTGCTAGAGAGGTTGAAGATGAAGCTGTCACACAAAGAACATCGAAAACAGAACAGAAATCAAAAATCCTGGTAAAACATCTCATGCGTAGAAAAAATGTGGTGGCTGAAGGAATCTTACCAGTCATATGCAGCATTTCTTTTGTGGCCAGTGAGCCCGTGAAGAAACCGTTTCGAGACCTTTGCCAGCCATTTAATGACATAGGAGATGGCCAGATTCCGTTCGTTGCATTCAAGGGAGCAGTTCCGTCCACGTATGCTGAAGTTGTTTGGACAAAAGCCCATCTACTTCCTTGGTCAGCAGATCCAAATAATTGTCGTAGTGAGCTAGGATGTCCACCAGGCAAGAGCATTGAAAAGTATTGCAATGCTTTTTCCGCCCAACTGCAAATTGCAAGAAAGCCCTCTGTAGATCTTGTTGTTCGTCACTGTCAAACCGTGTGCTGCCTCCATGAAAACAAAGAAGGAAAAGAAATTCGATTTGAACAACGGGCAAGACTTAAAGAGGTTATGGAACGTATCTACGATTTTTTGCAAGCAAGTCTGATCACAATCAAAGATTCGAAGGACCTCCTTGAAAATACACCATGCATTATAGTGGAGCAAGGAAAGAAATTTATTCTTCCACGACAAGCAGTGCTTGAGTTGTACGAACATCTTGAAATTAAGCCCTTCCTATACAGTGTACCTCGAGAGTTTGGCAAATTTCACCCTTTATTTCATACTCTTGGGTGTTCTATGCATGTTACGATTGTCCACTACGCAATGGTGTTAGAGATGTTGCACGTCAAAGCCAACAACGAGAAGCTGCATCCGAATGAAGTGATCATATGCGTCAGGGCGCTGCAAGGTTTTTTTCAAAGACTTGAAGAAAACGAGGAAGACTTGTCAAGCATTTCGCAGCTTTACTTTCCAGGAATGTCCACAAGAGGAAATTCCCTAGAGGAAGTGGATGTCGGGACACCAGTAACATTACAAGAATCGTCGCAATTGGTGTTTAATGATGCCTCCTTTTCCATTCTTGATCGTCTTCAGAATTTTAGCCATCTACTGCTTGACCTAAGATCAATGAAGGTGACTTGTAGCTCTTCCATAACGAACTACAAGGAGCTAGTGATGAAACTTCCAACGAAATTGCGACCCAAAATGCTATCCTCTTTAGTTGAAGAAAAACTCTCTTCCCGGAACGACTCAACGTTGTCGATTGACGCCGTGAACTCCTTAAGGAACCAGCTGTCTTCTCCACATTTCATTGCAGCAGTTGTAAGACTTATACGAGATGAGAACCGGGGCAAAAAGGATATCGATGAGGCCATTATAGCAAATATAAAAGGCCGCCTTCAAGGAATTGACATCCGCGTGGTCGTGAACCTTAAAAGCATCCTATTTTGTGACGGCAGCCCAATTCCGGAGAGCGAAAAAGAAGTGCCCTACTTCTTAGAAAAGAGCATCGTCTCGGCTGAGGAGAAGTGGACAGTGTATCTAAATTCTGTAACTGGAATTGAGGAGGGCTTTACCATCATTTCCTTAGTGTCCAACGTTATTGTAGAGTTGTATGGTAATCTTCTAGGAAAGAGAGCGGTGTTGATTCCTCATCTGTTAATTTCTGTCCCAAGTGATATTGGCACGCTATTAGATGCTGCGGGAGTGTGTCAAGATGATTCCTTGTTTGCAATGAAGGTTGAAATTTTTCCCACACTTGGCACCTTCATTCCTCTCATTGATCACCATTTGCTAAACGACGCCTTTGTAGAGTTCGAACCTGGTGAATATGTGGGTTATGAGCTGGAAGATCCAAGTATAAACCGTACAGAAGGAGTTGCCACGTATATTTATGCAAGAGTTGTACAGGAAGTCACGGAGAAATGTCTACCTCTACTGACGAAAAAATACAGAATTGACGTCGGATGCGGCGAGGACTTGGTGGTTGATGCCGTGGACCTGTATAAGTTTCATCGTTTACCAACTGCACCATCCACAACGCTTGCAGTATTTAAAAATGGGGAACGAGCCACCCCAGGGCGATCTAAAAGCAGAAGCCAGCAAGAGGTATTTGATGAGATCTCCGACCACTTAGAAGATGCGTGGAGATTACCAGAAGAGAAACGCCGAAAGATCATCAAGCGACTTTACCTGCAGTGGCATCCTGATAAAAACGTAGGTGACGAGGAATTCTGCAACGAAGTTTGCAAACACATCCAGAGTGAGATCTTGCGGCTGGAAAGAGGAGAGCCACGGGGCAGTCAGGAAAGCTCAAACGTTGGCTCCAGCCAAAGTCAGCATGGCTTTTACGAAGACTTTTTCCGCTCCTGGGGAGCACGCGCCAGGGAACATCACACACAGCGCGAAGGATACAGATCAAGACACCAGTTCCCTAGAAACTCTGCCAGAGCAAAGAATCCACAACCGGGAGAAGCTAAGAGATGGTTCAGGCAGGCTGAGGCTGATATAGCAGCAACAGAGAATGACATTATCTACAGAAGGCCCTCCTATGAATGGGCGTGTTTTAAATGCCACCAGGTAACCTTAGAACTTAATGGGTCACTCTCGTTTCTTTTAAATCCACAAAAAAGATTAGGGTAGAGATTTGACATAAAAAGCGAAACCAATTTTCTCAAAGATTAGGACAATTAAGAAACTGGGTGTTTTATAGATGTGTATTAACGCAGCAGCAGCAGCAGTTATATAGGTACCACAAAAATATAGTATTGCCGTGTATTTTAAGACTTAAACAGCTGACGAGGTCTTAGAAGACGATAATAAATTTCTGGTAAGCAAAATAGTATTTTCAATGATAATGCAAAATCCAAAACAGTTTTTTTTTTCATAATTACCTGTTTTCAGTCCGGGTGTGCGCTTTTGAGGCACGCCAAAAATTTTAAAATTGAATAACTTTAAAAGCCTCAAGCTACATGTATGACCACGAAACATAGCGACCTTTCCTGAAATTTATCTGGGAACAGTTTTAAGTCTCCTAACGTGTACGTCAGCATTGACGTTACCTTGCAGCTGACTTTTTTTCGTATAAGAAAACGTTTAATTTCTAGATTTTACACAAAGATCAGATTTTGTATCACGATTACTTCCATTTATGCGAGTTTAAGGAAAACCCAAAATAAACTGTTGTGAATAGGGTTAACACAAGACAAAATATCTGTACTGCTTAGATAAAAAATTGTTCTCGTCATAGGCGGCAGAGAAGGCCCTCAAAGCTGCACAGTACGCCATAGATGTACAAAGAACGAACGTGCATAACCTGCTACACATTTGCCACGAGTTGGATGACTCTGAATTAGCCCAACTAGCGAGTCAGCTGGAATGTCTAGTGGGTAATTCTACAAGGATGCGTTATCCGGATAGAGTTTGCTTTCCCCAAATCCCGAATGATGTGTACTCGGTTGACATGGCAGAAGAAGCCTTGCGGTTAGCGAAGAAGATTATTCAGCGAGTTAAGAATCGATTAACTTAAGGTTTGTGCAATGAAAAGAAAAAAAAATGAAAACGATCTTTTGTCAAGTTTTTAAAAGAGCAAGTGATATCAATTGTTTATATTATGATGAGTCAAATACGAAATCCTAACACAATATAATAGTATGAAAAAAGCAAGAGATTGAATTTCCCAGAATTGGTTTGGACGCCAACAGTATCTCAGGTTCGTAAGGAGTTTTCGCTTTTCTAGAGAAGCAGCATGATCGACCAGAGAAATGAAAATCATAAAGAAATTGGAGTCGCTTTCTACACGAAACTGAACCATTACTCATCATAATATACTGCCTTTGAATTTTGAGTCTAACAAATGATAAGAGAGAGATGCATTTGAGTTTCTGAACTCTCATTAACTTCACTAACAAACACTTCTTCCTCTTTATTCAGGTCGGTTTCAAGCTTGCTTCCGCGATGCAACCTGACAATGGACTTATAACAATGGACTCAAATTATTTAGAGAGTGCAATTCATCTCAATTTCAACTTCCGAAACCTAATTAATGAATTGTTAGCTTAACTTATAGTAGTACCGTAGATAAAGTAAATTTGAAAAGAAGTTTCGCCAGAAATGAAAACAAACTTTTTTGGCCTAATTTTACCAGACTTTTTGCTTGAAAAATGATCTTTACTTGCAATAGGATCAGTGATGTTCGGTCTTGGCCTTCTTGCCAAGTATATAGTACTATATGTACCTGACAGAAGAGACGTAATTCGATTAAACTAGTCTCATAATGTCAACTTTAGAAAACCAAAGTCAAAATGATTTTCCCCTTGTTTTTCCCGAAAACTTTTTTATGGTACCGTGGCCATAAGGAGTTTTCATATTGGACGCTCAACAATTCAGACGAGCACAAGAAAAGGAGAACAATCAAACTTAGTACATAAATTTACATTGTACTTTTTCCTTTATTAACGAAGACAAACTGAAGTTTAGATTATTCGGGGTAGCTTGGGAAAACTTGCTTGCCAAAGATATTTAAGTTAATGGTATTTTCTGTGTAGAATCGCCACTTTTTTATATTCAATCTGTTGACGTTTTGCCTAAGTTTATAATTTCTTGATTTCTACGTACAGGATAAAGATATCTCTAAATTTCCCTAGAGGTAAAAAATAATAATGATTATATTAAGACGCTGAAGAGGATCTGATTTTAGGGTGTCTAAAAGGGAAGGATCGAGTACGTAACATAACTTGCAATTGAGGTTTATTCTTGAGAGGAAAGTTGTTGTTTTTCTTTTGTTGTTGTTTTCACTCTGGGTTTGATCAGTACTCAGTTTCTAATCTCAAGATCCAACTATTTCCTTTCTAGCATTAAACGTGCATCATGTTTGTTAACTGGCAAGAGACTTTACTCTGCTTACTCAGCACCGTTGGACTTAGATCCAATTATTGTGATTGCAAGCTGCATGCTTTCAATATTAACTCCTGTTATTCAGCAAGTACACTACATGAAGCGTCACAAATAAATTGTACTATTTTTCTTCATCGCCTCGTTTTCATCATTTACTCCTGAGGGAATTGATAGCAGTAAATGATTTGGCCATACATTTCCTCACTTTTTGAAAGTGAGAGTCCAACTATAGCCTGTGCTGAAATATGCAGCCACTTCGTGATAATGGTGTCTTTTTGCCAGTTTGAATCCCCTAAAAAAACTTGAATCAATTGAAAGCCTAGGCCGAAAATAGGTGTTCATTTGAAGGTAAATGGAAATTTTCCTAGGGACCATAGACCCAGTAATCTCATCAGTGACTGAAATAGGTAAGGAGAACATCTTTCTTAATCAGCTAAAATTTGAGATGGAAGAGAAAGTATTTTTTGGTCCGAAAGTGTCTGCTGTATATACGTTATTCGAGCGCGTGAGGTCAGGATAACCGGATATTGGTCAAAGTCTTTATGGACACGAAGTCGAGGTCTTCCAAAACGTAAACATAGGGACGAGGCCAATAGTCAGCATCATTGAAGGGCCGTCTAACTTGGCTGGTCAGGATCTGTTATGTGGCCAAAGGAAAACTCGCAGAGACAAGAATACTGTGTTAGTAAGATTTTAGAAAAGTGACGTGTGAAATGTGACACTTGGAAAACAATTCGTGCAAAAAAACGTAACGAACTGAATTCTATTTTCTAAGGACCTTAAATCTGAACATGACTGGGGATTAGCTGACATCGACTGTAATGTTTCGAGAAATTCTTAGAAATTGCAATGGGAAGCGAACTAAGATCACATTACAAAGCATTGAAATTTTGAAAACCTGAAAAAGAGTATGCTGAAAATCTTCTAACAAATTCATTGTTTGTCTTGAACCTCAATGGACATATAATGAAACTCATCTATATATGCTGAAAATAGCAGTTTTAAGACAGACGTTTTAAATTAGCTTTTTAGAAACCCTTTTAAGGAGGAAAGAAAAAATTTATACAATGAAAGACGCTCCAACTACATAACATATGGCAGAGAATACAACCCTTTTACCTGTCTTTGATTAAAAGATAATGGCCGTACTCTCACATATTGACCAGAGAGCTATTTAAAAAAAAAATCATAAAATTAAAGATCCTTTAACTTTGAATTTAACCTTTATTTAAAAGAACAATTAACATTGATGATTAGGCTGGCTTGCAATTATGTAGGCTTACATTTCGTATTATTGAATATTAAGAAAGGAAAAATATAAAGAAGGAAAACAAGTAAAACGAAACAAAAAGCAATACGTCAAGAGCAAAGCTAGAAACGGAACTTCATTTTGTTTCCATTATTTTAATAAAATGCATTACCAAATTCAATCAAACGCAAGATAACTGAAGAAGGAAAAAATTACTAAAGAACAAAAGAACAATATATCAAGAGAAGAGCTACACACTGAACTAAAACTAATTTTTCATTTATAAAGCTGCGCATCAACTTCAACCCATAAGTTTTCAGATTCTAGATTTTTGAATAGTTTTTATGTAATAAACATTTTAAAAGAGTTTTGGGGTAAGCTTTTAAGAGTACTTGGTATCTCATTCCAGGTTTTAACAACAACACGTGAAAAGTCCTTTTTTTGGATATTAGTGCAGATTGTTTCGTATATAATTTGCTCAGACGTTGGTAAACGTGTACTATAAGAGTAAACATTGGCGATTCTCGAGAACAAATTCGAAATATTAATTGGAGCACAACTCTATTTTACATTATGAACTAAATTAGCGAAATTTAAATTCTAGGGGTGGAAAATGGAACAGTTTAAACACAGGAACATGCTAGAGCTAGCGCAGAAAATTTTTTTTTGAAACCGCGATCTGACTTTTCTCTAAATTTTCGTTTGCCTCTGTCCTCCCTTCATCACAGGCCCTCGCAAAGATTGTTTTTGCTTCTGGGTGACGTCCCTGATTTGAATTAACAGCATACAAGCGAGATGGAACGCTTTTTTTTCTAATTTTTGGCGTCGATATCTTTGGTGGAGTTTCACGACTCCAAGAAAAGCGTCTATTAGTGCCACATCCTCGAAGTTTTGGGTATATTTGGGATGGATATAGAGATGGCCAAGTCCTGGAGCGCGGCATGTGTAACTTTCCACTTTGTAGAGAAAAGCGATACCGTGAAAGACAAGAAAGCGTTACAATACGTGTCATGCTGTAATAATTCAAAAACAGGGACGCGACCAACAAGGAACGAGCTTAATAACTTGACTTATGCTCTCATGAAGGAGGGCAGAAGGTGGGAAGAAGAGACAAATCAGGTTATATCATATGTAAAACCACTTTCATCAAAAAATATTTACAGGATAATCAACGTTGTCGGCTTTTGACATCTCAAGCTTATGCACCTATCAATGGTTTGCCCCAGGATGGGGGGGCCGGGCAACCCACGGGAATTAGACTTCGTAAAGCGCACGTGGGTGGGAATTTTGACATCCACAACGGTCCCCAGGGTGGGAAATTTGCCTTGACCGCCACCTTGAAAAGTGGAGAGGACCTGGAATGAGTGAGTGGTCCGCCATCTTGGAAAATACCCAGAAGTCATTTGAGCGAGTTTCCCGCGTCCAAGGATGGCTGAACGAAATCTAAGGAGTATCGTGTTGCTTTTTTTAAGTAAAAATGTTGTTTTTTATGCCCATCAGTGCTCTGTCTTTAAAGTTCTAATAACACAACAAGAAATATTCGCACAAGAGCTCATTTAGATCAAAATTTACTTCCTACTTACCTGTCTTCAGAGGATGCCGCCCTACCTCAAGTTTTCGATACTCTCTGTGTTTATAGATTTGCTAGTATACTCCAAATGTTAAATTCAATGAAATTCTGGTCAATTGTGGACCTCAGTTACAAACATCAGTTGGATGAAAGCGGAATACGACCTATTACAGGCGTGACATAGAAGATGAATCCAGAAACCTGTGCCAAATCTCACCAAACAAAGACAAGTAGTGCTTTATTAAAGTGCTACTACGACGAAAATTTTTGTTTTTGTTTCCGAGTTTTTTTAACATAAATCTTTTGTATATGTTCAAAATTATACAAATAGCGAAAAATTGGAACGATACTTGCGTACGGGGGCTGGAAATTTCACACTGAAAAGTGCGTAAATACCGTCCGCCATTACAAAGTTCGCAAAGCAATAGCCCGCGAGATCTCCGCAAAGCGGTCGTGCGTTTGACCACGTGATTTATGCACTGTGACGTAGAAACATCAACCAAAGGATTCGCATTTGGGAAAAGTTTGTGAGTTTAGAGCCTTTTAACAAGACGTTTAAGATGTCATCTCCGTCGGATTCCTCTTCCTGCACATCTGAAAGTGATCTAGAAAGTTTTACAGTTGACGAAGTGATGGGGGAATTGTCTGAATTTGCGCCGTACGACGACAGTTGCGAACCCCTTGCTACCGAGGAAGAAGCCGCGGACTACAACGAAAGAGTTCATCGCGAAGAAGAAGAGGAAGAACAGTTTCAGCGAAGATATTCGGGAGAGGTGCCAGCGAATGAATGGTATTGTATTATCATGGAATGTAGATTTATATTTTTATTTTCCAATTTCAACATACCCGTCGTTAAATCGTGCGCGTGAGGAACGCGACTGTGTGTTTTGTTTAAGTTTACAATTTCGTTGCTATGTGATTAACTGTAGTCCTGATTTTATGCGATAGTGTTATTGAAGAGGTCAGACAATTAATAATTTTATACAAACGTATTTTTCTTGTGTTTGACGAATTTTTCACATTATTTTGCAGGTGTTCGTGCTCGAACTGCTCTGTCAGCCTTGTTACAAAAGCGCAGGAGTGCATTTGCTGCAAAGAGATCGATCGCTGCGAAGAGGTCATGGAAGAAGCCATTGGAGACCGAACCTTATGCATAACCCTCCATCCAGGGTTTGAAAGCGTCTGCTTAAACCGCCACGTATTAGAAGTGGCTGCACTGGGCCTAAAAACGCGAGCTGGAAAGTCGTACACAACTGTTCGTGGGCAAAGCAACAAAAGTGATAATGAGTAAGTTGGGGTATTGTTGACTTTGTATCGGAACGATCGAACCGTACATAGCACTGAATAATTGATACATCTAAGTTTATCGCCGTGGACTGATCTCATAGAATCACATTTTTTATTTTCTAAATGGCTTTATTGTCCCAACTGCTTATTTTTAAAAGGAGTATTAATTTATCTCCATCCAATCCCTCCTTGAATTAACAGTGATCTCATTTCTCTAACTAGATTCCTGAGGTCTGTGGCCTATCGCCAATTTACAAGACTGCTGTGGAGTTATATTGGTAGTTCCAGGCAATACCCCTTGCCCTGTTGTGCCTACAATAAAATCAGGAAACAATTTCCGAGTCAAAATGGCCATTATCGTGGATTCGAAGATGAAGAAAATGAATAATAAATGCACTGTTTGTTCTTGAAGCGTGTCATGTATGCCATTGGGGCCAAGAAGGACCTACAGTAGTTGCGTGAATACTTGTCCGTAAACACTTAATTTTATGGGCCAAACTTCAGAATTCTCAGCCACTTACTCGCTTTTTGTTGAATGACAAACTTGCCCACTGTGTGAAGCCCTGTTCTTCAAGCGTTCAGTTAAACTCAAGTTTAGTGGCTGGGAATTCTGATGTTGCTCCAATTTTCATGTACACAAGTAATAAAAATTAAATCGAATTCAGCCTGAATTTAATTACAGTTTTAATGTATCGTTTCTTTCTTTTCACTCGGCTCACAGAGCACTGCAAAACTTAATAGCAGGTTACCTGCTGGAAACTTTCCTAGCAGGTCTGGTTGACTCTTCCAGACTTTTGTCTGGCTACAGTTTCTGCAGAAACTTTCTACGGTAAACAAGGTACCTGTCTGTGATACAGAAAGTTTGGGTTTTGAAAAGAAGCACAAGTGGCAGAACTGAAACAAAAGAAGAAGTTTGGAAAGGAAAACAATTCCCTTCGGTTCCTCTCGAATGTTTTTTCCTTGTAGATCCAACCTGTAAAAAATGATTGAAAGGAAATACTCATTTAATCATAGCATCTGAAATAATAAAATAACAATTAAAAAAATGATTATCATTTTTATTGTTTTTCTCAGGGTGTTGCCAGTTTTTCAACTTGTTGTAAACCTGGCTAATCGTGGGTTGGGATTTTATTCTCACATACATCCTGAAAAATGCTTTTTTATAATAATTCTGTTGATTGCACACATGACAACTTTGAGCCCTTAAGCTACCTAGCCCACCCCAACAATGCATAATTTATTACAAGTGGTTGAGTGGACAAGCCAAACATTTTTAGGCCTGGGACTTCCAGTCTATGGGCTGGCTATGCCTCTTCTTTTTTTTCTTTTTTTTTTTGCAATTCTTATCTGAGTAAATTAAAAAACAAATTTCATGTACTCTTGTTTCTAAATAGATCCTCTCATAATGGAAGTTAGTTTTAGGCCTAAATCACTTCCCAGAGGATACTTAGAGCTACGATGTTAAAATGCAATAAATTTTGCATCTTTTTACCTTGGGTTCTGATGAGTCTTCACCTAGTCATCATCTTCCTTTAGTTTTTTATATGCATCTTCGATTTCTTCAGGACTCCATTTAGGGTCTTCATCACACTCAAACTCCTCATACGCGTCGTCCTGCATTTCCTGCTCATCTTCTGATTCATCCTCTAGCCCTAACTCTGTCTCATTTGTTACTGGCCATGGATCAGTTTGAATAGCTTAAACAAATGGAATTAAAAAAATTCTATTACCATTAAAATTTTAATTATTATTAAATAATCAAATATTGATAAAATGTAATAGAAATATAAAGATAGGCAGTTATGCCTATATGACTCATCAACATCAATAATTATTGTTGAGTCACCAGCATTCACCATCAGCAACTGCTTCGGCTCTTGTATGCTCTTAAAGGTTTCAACCCACTGATCTTGATTGGAGATTAACTTACTTGTGACTTTGCCCCTTAACTGAGTCACCTTACTCCCCAGGGTTTTGCATGTTGTGCAGTTCCCAGCATGTCCAGTTGGAGTATCCTACAAAAAACAAACTTTCAACATTAATACAGGCTGTAATAACAAGACTTCAGAATTTTTGTGTTTTAGTATTGTTGTAAAATAACTGCACATGTAGTTTTCCATTGTTATGATAATACAAAGATGCAAATAAACATTAATTAGAGTTATGCGCCTACCATAGAAACCTGTTCAAGTTCAGGAATCGTTAATGATTCATCAATCTCCATAACTTCATCCATAACCTGCAGTTTTTCGATTCCCTGAGCCTCCAGGATCTGCATGGTCTCAGTAACCTCATCAGTGCCGGAAATCCCTTGGCTCTCGAGAGTTGTCTTATCACCAGGAGTACCTAGGACCTCTGAAGCCATCTCAGCATCAACACTTATCTCACCCGTCTCAGTCTCAGGGATGCAGCCCTCCTTTTCAGGATTTACCTCAAGCAAAGAACCCTGACTTGTGTTCAGAACACCCTCGACTTCTGGAGACAGATTGGGAGCCCCCATAGTGTCAGCACTCTCCTCAGGTGCAGAACTTCCTTTCAAAGAGATCACCTCTTCTTCAGGATTGTCTTCTTCCTCTGTATCCTCATTAGTAGTTTGACCAGCCAGAATTTCATTTAGTAGCTAAAAATGAAAATAGGTACGACCATTTTTTATATCTCCCCTTCAAAACAAGTTTAAATTTGAGCTTTATGTCGATGTTTTCAAAAGTAGAAATGGAAGCAAGGTTTAACCGCATCTTTGCCTTAAAATGTATGCATCATTTGCAGACAGTGAAAATAGAATTAAAATACAATGGAAAAAAACTCGCAAACAGTAACTGAACTTATAGAATGTAGCAATCAGACTAAGTCCATTTTTGGTCGTTTTAAAAGACTCGCGTGTAACTCCTAATTTGCTGTAAGATTTCTTGGAGGGAAGTTTGGAGTACTGTCAAATCTCAAAGTAACAGCAAGATAATCTCTCAAAAAATAGAGAGCCGGATTTCTATGTAGCTTCACTTTTTCTAAATTTTACGCTTGAGTGGAAAGGTCTGGGAATTGGGGAATTGACTTCACGTCCACTCAGCGCAAATGCCCGTTTTACTACAACTATGAGAAGAAAGCAGAAAAGTATGAAAACACATGCAACAATATGGGAAGTCCAAATAGTCAGAGCATTCATTACACGAATATTGAACAACGATGCCAGAAAAAATCATGTCACAGGTAAATGGGGAAATAAATATAATGGTGATAAGCACAGCACAAATACATTGTAATTTCACTCACCGATCGTCGACTCCGCTTTGATAGTGTTTGAGAGGATTTTTTCCAAATGATTGGAAACGTCCCCTTCTTCAAATTCCTTTTCATGCCTTTCATCGGAAAAGCAAGCGTAAAACAATCCCTTGTAAAATGCTCCGAGCACACAGCAAATTTTCCCACTGTGTTGAAATCCTTCCGATGAATGGACACGAACCTTTTCCACTTTAATCTAACGCTGCCCGAATCAGGAGAATTCATCGTTCTTTACGTTTCCACAGTCCTGAACAACACAACGTCTACCAGGCATACTTTCGCTTTAAGTCAAAAAAGCGAAGAAAGAACCTCCAAAAGCTTCCAAAAATATCTCGTCCTGCATGCGAAATTAGCCTCGTTTGTTTACCTTGTTCTGTCGCGTTGATTTTTCTACGTCACATCTCGCCCCAACTCCTTCAAATACTACTCCCGGTCATTTTTTGAATCGAGTAATGGCGGCAAGACATTTACGAAAATTGCCGTGCAAATAAACACACTTCCAGATCACATTTGGACTCCAAACTTGGCACGGTAAGTTACTTTTACATACATTTTCGAAATACGTAATAAAAAACAAATTCCCAAATTTGATCGTAGTAGCACTTTAAATAATCTTATTTTTTGATACTTTCTATGTCAATTTTATAATAATTCTAACTAAAAAAAATTTTGTCTACAAGAAATACAATTTGGATTGTTTGGAGAGGATCTTGTTTAATCGTTGTTTGTTCAAATCAGTGTTGTGTCTGGAGGAGTGCCGCAATAAACTTGTTGTGAGTGCCTATCATTTCGTTTAACTTACTATGAAGGTCTGTGGTCCCCAGGGGTGGGAATTTGACTTACAATGGAGACCCAAGGGTGGGGAAATTGACATTTGAAAACCTGAAAATGTCAAATTTCCCGTGGGTTGCCCAGCTCCCCCATCCTGGGGCAAACCATTGATAGGTGTATTACGCAACAAGACAAATGAGTTGCTGGCTTGCTCTAAATCCCCATTTTCGCGGTTGTTAGTGCCATGGTGTTAAGGTCACGAACGTAACGTCTACCTTAACGATTTTTTGACAGGAAAACTTCGTTTCGTGGCTAACTTTGGCAAATCCTTTTAGTAAAATTATCCACTGAAATTGCTATGAGAATTCGTCACGAATGCTTTCCGCGATCCGTCAACGTTAGTTGAAATACAGTTGACTCCCGATAACTCGAACCCTCGCTAACTCGAACCAAAATCGATTTCCCCTGGATTTCCTTCATACATTTACTGTAATTTTATCCTATAACTCGAACCCTCGATAACTCCAACTTCCCGCTAATTTGAAGTAGTTTTTGTTTCCCCTCAGATCATTTCTATATAATTTTACCCTCGATAACTCGAACCATGTTTTGAGCCCTTAAAAAGCCTTACAGGTCTAACCGCAGGTCACAGGTCGCAGGTAACAGGTCACAGGTCGAAGGTCGCAGGTCACAGGTTGCTCAGTTCGCAGGTACAACAAAAAACATTTCTCCCATATACAACCTTTCAGTAGTAATAAACAGGTTCTTTTTAAGTCTGATGGTTGTCGTTTTTTATTTATGAATACTCCATTTAACAGCGACTGAAAGTAATATTTCTCTAAACTGCTATACAGACAGCTTTTTAGAACAACGTCTTGATTAAAATGTCTACAGAAGAATTCTCAGAAATTTGAAAAAAAGTCGGCAATGTTGAATTTGCACAACAGGAAATGAAACTGAAACGAAAAACCTTTTGTAAGAAGTTTACTGAACATCGAAAACCTGTAGTCGGTCGACTTAGTTCGATAAACGTAAAAAAAAAAATTAGCCTGCTACCTTTCCCTTCCCTAGGGTGGCCGCTTAATAGAGGTTCCTCTGTATAATAATAGTACTGTAGTATCATTTCCAAAAATTCGATAAAGGTACAAAATTGCAAAACTGTAACACTAAACAACCACAATAAAACATGTACTAAAAAAAGGAGTTTTGTTAAAAAAAAAAAGGTGCCTAATATCAATAACCTCTATTAGTCCATGTTCAAAGTTAAAGAAGGAACCTGAATTCCTTCAATATAAGACGCTTGTTTGCCTCATTAAGGTATTGCCTAATGCCATCCTTGACAATAAGCTTTCCCTCACTCATATCTTGAACAGTGAGGTTTACACAGGAGTTAAGTGGATGAAAATAAACCATTTCTGATTTCGAAGAAAGTCGGAGCTTGGTGTCTTCAGGGCGATTATATACTCTGATCTCAGAATGCCTTATGAACAGGTCATATGGTGAGGGTGGGGGTGGAGCTGAGGGCTTCTCTCTTACGCGTCCCTTGCATCCGTAGCAAGTGGTTGCGGAGGTATCGTTCACAAAGACAAGTTCGGGGTATAGAATTTCGAACGTATAAAAGCTCATCAAATTATCAGCAGCCATTTGAAATTATTCATAGAGAATTTGCACAAAAAAATACCTTAACGAACAAATCCAACCGTTGCACCCTGTATTGCACGCGGTACGCTATCATAAATTAGTTATCGTGTGATATTTATTAAGCAATAGAAAACATTTTCCACGTTTGCTTAGCCTGATATAAACACGAGAGGGGTTGGGAGAATTCGAGACAGTCATGCAAACCTGAGACGAAGTCGAGGGTTTGCATAGTTTAAATCAGGCTATGCAAACACAGAAAAAAGTTTTCTATTTCTTTTATAAAATAAATTTCCCGAGAAAAAACGCAAAACTCTTTGTATGGCACTGATTAAAAGAGAAATTCTTACCAGTCGCAAAGTCTTGTCTACGAAGTCTTGCACGCGTAATCAGTTCTTAGTTTGCAAAACGATGCTTTCCAAAATACGGACTTTTCTCACTTAAAATGTCAGCTTAAGCGAAAAAAAATTGACACACTTTCTTTGTAACGATTTTCAAAGTTTCAGCCGACGAAGGAGTGGGTAAATAAAGTAAACTTGTCGGGTTTTGAACTTGAAAACTTTTTCAAATTCGTGCTTGCGTGATTAGCGCGCGAAAAGCAAAACAACTTGACGCCACAACCATGTTTACATACTCACATGCAAACACTCCTCTCGGCCAATAAGAGCGCGCGCACTATCTTAGTTATTTTATAAAACGCGTTCGATAACACTAAATTTATAGAACAGAGCCTATCATGACGGGGTAGTAGAAAGTAACCTATTTCTAGAACGGGGTATCATTTTCAAAGCATTTTTTTTTTTAAACCGGGTCCAAATTTGGAAACCCGGGCGGCACATACCCACCCAAATCATAGCCAGGTACCCCCCCCGAGGGGTCTACACTCAATGTGCCCGCCCATTAAGAACTTGAGATGAGATGACCTGAGAGAAGGGGGAGACGCCTCGAAAATAATTTTCCTTCGGGTATTAAGCGGCCACTTGTCCACTACCCGCTTTGACCGGTTATCTCGCTTTTTAAATCATAATTATGAAATCGATTTTTCTGGAAACTCATATTAATCAATTTACGTATATTATTCGCGACCTGTGACCTGCGGATTAGACTCACCGAGCATACAGTTTACTATTGGAGGCTGATGTTGTTTGTCACAAATCAAAGGTGAAACAGCATTACTTCTCAAAATAGTAAATCTAATGCCAGTAAAACGAATGCTCTATTTAGGCAAAGTTTTGTTACGTTATGACGTTATTTATAATCTAGAAGTATCTTTTAATTTTCACTATGAGTTAACATTTCTACAATTTTAAAAACTTACATTTAAAAATGTGAAAAAAGTTTTTAAAAACCTTATTTGGCTGCGAAGATATAATATTCTAAAGATCGCCAAACTTCTAAAAATAGTAACAAAATGGCGGAAAATACGAAATTCACGGCTCAATAACTTTTTAACCAATAAAGCTTTAGAAATATTTTTTTCACATTTGAGCTCATCTCCGTGAGCTCTTTTAGTTGTAGTTTGTTATGCCATAAGTCGAAAACTGTTTTTTTTGCTGTCCATCTTATGACGTCATTTTCGCGCCAAACACCGTTAAAATGACACAATTGTTGGGAACGGTACAGTTCTATTATTTTGCAAAGTCTCAGCTCAAACGGTTAAAAATTGCAAAACTAGTTTGAAATTAAAGAGATCACTTTTTGATTACAGCTGATTCTGGGAGAAAACTATTTTTTTACTTACTCCCGGCTATTTTCTTCGAGCTCCCGATAACTCGAACTTTTTTCGATTTCCCTTGAAGGTTCGAGTTAACGGGAGTCGACTGTAGCTGCATGTCTTTCATAGCAGCCAAGGCTTGGATACACACCTAAAGGTGCAATTTATCCAAGAAATCTGCTCAGACATGCCATCTTTTGTTACAGTCCATATTTATTTAAAAATTCCTGGAAAGATTTACTAACAACAGCACAATGAAATAATTACGGGGTTGTTCCTGGAACGATTTACTATAACAACAGTACGAGGAAAGAGGGTAATGCATAAGATTTTGAAGTGTTCTCCGGTAATCATGAAAAACCATGTCCTGAATTGATGTCAATGATCGGTAAAACTGAGTCTGCTTGATTTATCGAAGCTGTTCGTGTTTCTCCGGTAACGGGCCAGTTGAAGAATTGAAACCCAACCTTCCAAATCTAAAGGGTTTCTCATCCTGCACGATCACTTTTCGCTACGTCTTGATACTAAGAGACAGACCATTAAAAAAAGTGAACGGGGCAGAACCAAAAAAAAAATTCGGTACAAGTATAATTCACGTGAGAAGATGCATACAACCGGAACAACAAAAGAGTTGTGTTTGGGGTGTTCATCCTGAGATGAAAGTTCGGAACCCAGGTGAAAGTCTTTTCGCTCCGTTAAGTGTGTCTTACTAATTTTGGGATATTAACCGCATTTGTGCTGTGCCATAAAAACACAAGAGACTTACATGATTAACCGGATCAGCGGCGGAATGGGGGAATATGATTGAGTCTCTTATTATTCTCGCTTGTTTTCCACCTTATTGACATCAGTGACAAATCGGTTACATTTTGAATTGGCGTTTATTTATTACTGATCAAAACTCTAGGACGGCCAAGTTACAAAAATATTTGACCGGAAAGAAATTACAACATTAAGTGAATTGTAGGCCTCTTAAGCCTCATAGTGCAGCTTTGAGAACGTGAAAAGCTGAGATCTTATCTCAGCTTGTTGCTTCAATATTATAGCAACGACCACACCACCAGCAGCCCATTGCTCGACGTCTATTTCGACCAGGGGCATTCGTTGCCTCAGTACAAGACCTGCCCTCTTTGAAATGCACCTTCAATCCCACCTTGCAGCTCTTCATGTTAACCACGCCCCTCAGATTAATATCCCTGTTAATCTTCTCATCCATTTCCACAGTATAAAAATCTAAAAGAAGTAAAAACAAAACAATCAATAATAATTTTGCCCTATGTAATTATAAATTACGGATTCCAGGTACTGGTCCGGATTCTTTGTCAGTGGAACTTCTATTTCGGATTCCAATGGTTAGCTTGATTCTGGATTCCTTCACCTGGATTGTCAATTCCAAAGCCCAGTATTCCGGATTCCCGAATCCGGAATACCGTCACATGGGGCGAATAACTGGTACATTAAATAGGCCTAATAAGGTTGTGTTTAATGTATTACCTATTTTAGTTTACACAGACCTACGTACGAGCCTTTGACTTGAAATTGTGATAGAGATAACTTGTTATGTTGTCTGATTGTCAGCATCCAAGCTTCAGGAATCTCAATTCCACTGTCCCTGTTTATGTCTTTAGGGTGAAGTCTTATGTCAAAAAAGCTCGGTCAATAAACTTAACTTTGTCCCAGAGCGGATAATCCCCAGTCTTTATTAATATTGGCGTGTTCATATCTTTCGTGATATAAATTTTATGTGATTTCAAAGCGTTCAAAGTCAGCGTCAACTCATGATCTTTCTAATTTGAGCCAAAATTGAAAAATGCGGGTCGCCGTGTTTCAAAAGTTCCCTTTAATCCTCTTCAAGTTTGCCTATGCGTGTCACGTCCTTTTTGGCTTGTGTGTATTTCTCTTTTGTTCTTTGGCAGGTTAAATCGGTTTTTCAGAGATATCTCAGTCGGCTCTGTAACTGCTTTTTTAAAGTGCTGAGATAGCCTAAATAGCGTGACAGTTTGCATCTTGCGTTTTCTTTAGGATTGTTCATATGTACTTTACCGTGTTGTTGTTTTTACATCTTTTGTTAGACTTGATTCCAAAAGTCCCTGACTGAAAAAATAAAAGAGATATTTACCAGGCATCAAGGTCTCTAATTCTCGTACAATCTCCCGCAGTCTTGAGCAGTCTACTATCTTGTAGAAGAACTTTTTCTCGTAGACTGGTTGGGCGCTTCCGGGCTCGCTCACTAGCTTCGTTGTCTGTTCTTTTTTTGTAGCCATGACTCTCAAGGTCTGCCTCCTTTAACCTAGCCATCATCTCTTCATCTGAAGTACGGAAGTCTGGATTGTAGACCTTTAATATCAATTTTTCTTGTGATGTGGCATCTGTTGAAGAAAGATTGAATAAATTTGTCGCCTGCGAATAGAGCTGTCTCTCCTCGCTCCTGTTCGATAGGGACGTCTTGCGGGACAATACGACATCATGTCTCTCGTGAAACGACTCCCCAGCGGCGAGAAGCGTGTTAAGGAGAGACGGCTATACATGCTATAAGAAAAGGGTGAATAGGTTCCCTCCCTGTGTTTAAGGCAATAATGCTTTTTTAGAAACAAATTTCGGATTCTATTTGTAATTCTTGTAATGGCGACTGCCGAGTCTCTTTTAAACAAGGTAACGTGCCTTCTTGATGTCTCAAAGTATGCTAACTAACTACGAGAGAATGACCAGACAACCGACAATTTAAATAACAACGCACCAATGACATTACGATTCTACATAGCCAATAATATCACGGGCTTAATGACAGACGACCAATAACATCGCTACTTAATTGACCAATCCGGTCAATAATTAGAGTTTATACCTAACATGATAGAACTCACTTTGACTCTGAAAATGACCAACGCCAGACAGGTTATCAAAGTGTCCGTCACTGTCAACAACAGTCCTGTTAAGGGCTGCTTTCACCTGGACGATCATGATCAACCTACTTACAAAGTATGAGTGATTAAATTAAAGGAACCTAATACTCATTGACGGATAATACATTTTTTTCGTCTAAAAGGCTAAATCGCCAAGCCCGTTTAAAACAAACGCGTTGAAGGCTTTTGGTGGTTTGGGCTTTTGAATGAACAAACAGCTTTCTGTCAGCTTCCTGTTGATACTGTCAGTTTCCTTATCCTTGATAGGGAAGGAGGGAGGAGGGTGGGCAAGAGTTAGTCTCGTCACGAGTTCACAAACAACAATTTTACGTTTCACGAGTCACGAAACATCATTGATGGATAATACATTAATATAATATATAGATTTAGCCACAGCTAAAAGCGAAGCTCCCATTGATATTTTTATAACTTAATCAAAAAATAATTTTGTATTCCACAAATCAGTTAACTTAAGGGCACATTCATGTGACTTTTGAGGGAAAAGCTAAGTGATTTTGGAGTGAAACAAATCTTGCATCGAGTTGATATAGCCCTATATGTACACCCAAAAATAGTCTTCGGTCACATTTAAGAGCAATAATGGCTCTTGATCACAGTAGATAAGGCGTGGAAAACAAATTCTTGGAAAACAAATCAGACCGAATTTTTTCGTCCGACAAGTTTACAAATTCTTGCCAATAAATCTGGGTGCGTGCAAACCAATCTTTTATAATTAATTTTTTTATAGACCACATCTGAGGAGAAAGAGTACTATGAGGCGCTGTTTTTATCATACAGGACCTCGTACTAAAATGCAGTATTTCACAATCTTTCAAGACAAATTGCATTCATTCAATATTCAGGACCATCGAAGCACGCGTGGACTTTTAATTAGCGAAACCGTTCAAAAAATTTCCAAAATCACTCCTATTATACGGCCATCCGGTTCTAACTTTTGACAAGCGCCAAATTTGCGAAGAAATTTTAAAAGAGTTACCCTTCAACGCGATAAAGAATTTATTGAGTCTATTTTTTATTAATGGTTTTTTAACGATGTGTAATCTTAAAAAGCTTTTGAGACGCTTGGCATTTTGAGTACTCCTGCAAGCGATGTTTATGAACGGCTGAAAACAAACGGCGAAGCGATGAAAATCACACTTTTGAGACTACCAACAATCAATAAAGAAATATCATTCGGTAGAACATTTACAGAGACAACAATTTTCATTTACGAAAACAAGTGAGTGTTTAAGTGTCTGTAAGAATCCTCAAGCCGTCGGTTTCCCGGTATTTGCTGTTTTCAAAGATGACTCACGACAAGAAAATCGCTCAAAGCTTTCTTTCTACAGCCAAAATTATAACTAAATATTCTTCGAAAAGTTTTTTTCTTTCTATTTACGGTGAATTAATATCGACTAACGGCTTTTTAAGGTTCTGTAAGCTTAAGCTTATATCAAACCTCATACTAGGTCAGATCGGTGTCTCAGTCAATCTCAATACAAACGTGCATAAACTAGCTTCATAAACTGCGCCGCTGGACTTCATGAAATTATATTTGAATACAATAATTACTTAAGCTTACCATATTTCGAGATGCAGCTCCTGAAAGCTATCAAGTAAGACAAGGATCGCTTGAGCCTTTGTAATTCTCGTACGCATCCAGAAAGGTGAAAAACAAAAACGATGCCATCCGAAATTTGACAAGCGACGCACTTCTCAGCCAAAAACTCAATAAACAAACCAGCCATGAATAAGAGAACACTCTTGATAGCAGCTGTATTTCATTTTGTACATCCAGTGGAAAAAGACAGTTAAAAACATCACAAGTTGACTCAAAACTCTGTCAGCTTCAGCTGTCAAAGTAAACAGCTTTCAAGATGCTGCACAAATTTTACGCATAAACTCACCTGTCAAATTTTAACCAATCAGAGCATAAAAATTGGACGTGGAGCGTGACCAACACGTGACCATGGTAAGAAAAGGTCTTTCCCGCCTGTCTTTTAAACAACTGGCTGAATTTTTGCGTCTGAGGTCAGTTTGAAATCAAAATCGTAATAGTTGATATGAATTTAAAAAGAAAGTAAACGTGAGCCTGCGATCATTTAAAAACGAGTAAATTGTCAGCGGACAACTTCAAAAAATACTCGACCTCGATGGGTCGACACCTGAGCCCGCGATACGGCCAGGTTATACTGGTCAGCGGATACCCTGTTTTGACAGCTGTCCATTGATGACAACATTGATGCGCAATCAGCTTCCTCCTGGCTCCCAAAGTAGCTAGAAAGTGTGAGAGTAAACATTGGTATGCCTGTGGTGCGGACGGACAGTCGGTCGCTCGGTCGGTCACGTGATTACCAAATTTTCTGGGAGGGGTAGATTTATTTAACCATGGTGCTCCGCAGGCGCGCTTCGCGCGCGGAGCTCCGCTATAATACATTAATTATATATAATAAATTAAGATAATACATTAATAGACAGCTTCCAGTTGATACCGCCAGTTTCCTTGATAAGGAAGGAGGGACGGGGTTGGGCAAGAGTTAGTCTCGTCACGAGTTCACGAACAACAATTTTACGTTTCACGAGTCACGAAACAAATATTTACGTTTTCATGCTTATCAGAAATGGAGGTCGTACAAAATATTCAAACGCGTTACGTTGGTCCTATTTTGTAAAACAGAGTGCTTCAAGAGAGTTAACTAGAGTTTTAAGAACTTTACTCGCACAGCTCGCCCACTATGCGTTGTTACACGTTTTACGTTACTGCCCTTATAAATGTAAGAGTATTGTCATCATCTTCCACAGGATGTTGACGTTCACTTTCAATGTCATATTCTTCCTCCTTGGGGTTGGTAGAAACTTCTTGCTCTGGTTCAGCGTGGTACGTAAAAAATTACTGCTTCCACAAAAGCAAGAACCTTGTCGGATTCATGAGACGTGGCGGCAATGATTTCCTTAGTGTAACTATTGACCTTTGATCCCGGCCACCTGTTGCTGTGATCTCTGCGCGCGCAGCTATAAATTACTTAGGGAAACCAGCTAAAGCCAAATGTGTCTGAGCACGCACTGTAGTGCGAAGGCTCATTAAATCAAGCCACCAGATGCTAGTTAAAGGTCGTTTAGCCAAATTAATGATTTATTTTCTTCAACTGATTTTAATGTACGTGTACACAATGGAGGATTTTGGAAGTTTACGTTTGACGAAGTGCACTGCAATCACGATTCACAGAACACTTTTTCAGTACTGATTCTATCACCGCGTCACGAAAATAAGCTTGCCCCCCCCCCCCTCCCCCTGGGTAAGCAAAGGTCACGGCTGGACAGCTTTTGTACCAACTTAGCGTTTATTTTTGCGCCACAAGGCTTTCATTAACAATAAAAGACAAGACCCTAAAAAGTGAAAAACCCAATATGAAAATCTGCTCAATGAATTGATAAGGTTACTCGGAACCTACAACAACATTAAACATAAGTGAAAGAGTCATCAAGACAAATACTGAGAAGTCAACTGAGTTTTCGGTGTCCATGTAGTGCATGTTATTTTGAAAAGGTGTCCAGCAACCCTTGCAAAGGATCTATGTTATTCTGCCGCCTGATACAAAATGCAAATTCAAATGTGATGACCGACGACCGATATGACGGTTGACGAAAAGGACAAAAAAACTAAAGCAAAGAATCCATGAATTGACTCAGTCGCAAGCGGTGTAATACATACAACAGGCCAAAAACAAAAACAAAAAAAAAGACAAGACAATAGCGAAACAGAAAGAACCATTTTACTTGAGGGCATAGCCCCTCCTTCTAATACTAGAAGCAAATGAACTTGGTAACGTACCTTAGGCAAATCGCCATAAAGCCAAAAACAAAAAGAACCAAAGAAGAAGAAAACCAAAGAGAAGATAAAATAAACAAAAACCTCACCTGCGATATAAACGTAGAAAATAGCGCCAAAAACGTAACCAAAATTTTCCCGCAAGCCATCACGACAGAGTAAAATTGTGAAGGTTAGCTTGCAAGTCTGAACTGGGCTCGATATTGCTTTGAACTGTAGAATGACCTGAATTTGTATAAAGGTTACCTGTGTGAAATGCGATAACTTTGTTTACCTCAATGCTTTAATATTATTATGCGCAGTTTGCTTTAGTTCCTCTTTTCTGTTAGTCAGTTGAAATAGCAACTAATTTCGTGCCTTCCTCTAACGCTTCAACATGTTTAATGTTTCAAATACTGTCTTACATATCGTTCAAAGTTTTTGTTTAAAAAACATTTATTTTCGTGACTTTTTAAATGTCTTTCGCAGTCTACGTCAGTTCCAAGTTCCCTGTACTGTCAAAACGAGGCGGCGACGTTTTCAAAGCACTGAGTAGCACTTGTATTACGCTAATGCATGTGTTAATTGCAGCTGCGCCTACCTCCCGCCTAAAAACTCTATCGGTGCAATAAATGACGACTTCTGCAGTGTTCAGGGGACGCAAAATTGGCCCCCTTTCTTTGTCCCCAACGCGGGGCATTTGGCAGTTTCAAGTCAGCCCCCTTACCGGAAATTTGCATCTAAGACAAAGAATGCCGATGCCCATGGGTTAACCTGTGGATGGGGGGCTGTGAATCGACTCATACATTTTTGATACACGTAGAAAACAACCCCTGCAATAACATAACCGAAATGCTCCAAACAATCACGACAAACGTTTCTGGACTGGTCGAATTGACTTCGATTTTGGTTTAAACTGCAAACTTACGGTTGCCTTTTATGCTGTTGACTGTAAGATCAGTAAAATGCGATGATTTTGTTTACGGTAATGTCTTGTTGTTATGCTCGGTTTGCAACAGTTCTGGGACACCTTCCTTTCAGTCCACTTCCTCCATCCTTTAACGCTTGAACACATACATCAGTTAGGTTTGAAATGCTGCAGTCTAAGCCGCTGAACTTGTTCGAAATACGTGTTTCCGAAATGCGATGATTTTGTTGATCTTTTTAATTTCTTGATTTGCTCCAGTTCTACCTCCCTTTCAGACTAGTGGAATAGAGGAAAAAGAACTAATTCGTACTTCGCTCGATCACGCATACACTTGTAGAAAACAGACCTAATAATAAAAAGCATGAGGGAAATTTTAAAAATAAAAAAGTTATTTTGAAACGGCTTATCGCAACACACACACGCACACTGCAAAGCTTAGCTTTTCTGAACTAATCGAACTCACTTCGATAAACGTTTATACTGCAGACTGAGCTGTTTTATGAGGAAGCTGTGCGAAATGTGATACTTGTGTTTACTTCAATCCGTTGTTTTCAAGGGAAGAGTAACTCAGTTACACTTTCCTTTCAGCCAGTTGTGATATTTTCAAAAAACGTCTTCTTACTTCTCTACAACTCTTAATAAACGCGTTTGCGAGCATATCTGCCTATACTTTCCAATTGCCCGTTTAGTGGGTGTCACGAAAACTCAGACCTCGAAGACTCAGAGGTCAATTAGTTTTAAAAAATACAGTTTACATTCATTGCAATTTGACTTGATGTTTTTTGAACGATTGATTAACAAGATCTTCTCCTATCTCTTTGCCAAAGAGAATTAAATTAATGATATTTTCCGTGTAGAATCGCCACTTTTTCTGTCCGTTGACGTTTTGCCCAAGTTTATAATTTCTTGATTTTTACGAACAGGATTAAGATATCTCTAAACTATTCCCTAGAGGTAAAAAATAATAATGATTATATTAAGACGCTGAAGAGGATCTGATTGTAGGGTGACTGAAAGGGAAGGATGAATAACGAGAGTACCAACAGAACTTGCAAGTGAGGTTTATTCTTGACAGGAAAGTTTTCTTTTTGTTGTTATTTTCACTCCGGTTTTGATCAGTAGGCAGTTGCTAGTCTTAAGATCCAAGTATTTCCTCTCTAGCATTAAACGTGCATTATGTTTGTTAACTGTCAAGAGAGTTTAATCTGCTTACTCAGCACTGTTGGACTTCCCAATTACCGTCTGAATAGCAAGCAACATGCTTTTCAATCAGGGGAGGGGGGCGGAAGGAAGGTAACTCTATTGTTTTCGACATAAGTTTCTTGACCCACTCCGCCCGCCAGTATGACGTCGGGCAAGAGCCTCGGGTCGCTTGTGCAAATTAGCAAGAGAGTACGACAGTTAGTTGGACGAGCGAGGTCGAGGAAAAGCTAAGAAGCTAGAAAATATCACTCTATATCGCTTATTTGATCGAATGTGTGTTAGCTTTGGTGTTGCCATAATCTGCTTGTGTAAACCGTTTTGATAGGTCATATGGTAAGGGTGGGGGTGGAGCTGAGGGTTTCTCTCTTAGGTGTCCCTTGCATCCGTAGCAAGTGGTTGCGGAGGTATGTTTCATAAAGACTAGTTCGGGGTATAATATTTCGAACGTATGAAAGCTCATCAAATTATCAGCAGCCATTTGAAAATTATTCATAGAGAATTTGCACAAAAAATACCTTAACGAACAAATCAAACCGTTGCACTTTGTGTTGTACCCGGTGCGGTATCATAAATTAGTTATCGTGTGATATAGTGCGTTCGATAATGCTAAATTTATAGAATAGGGCACAGGAGCCTATCATTACGGGGTATTAGAAATTAACCTATTTTTAGAACGTGGTATCATTTTGAATGAAATTTTTTTTTTAAACGGCACATACCCACCCAAATCATAGCTAAGTACCCCCCCCCCCGGGGGGGTCTACACTTAATGTGCCAGTTCATTAAGACCTTGAGATGAGATGACCTGAGAGAAGGGGGAGACGCCTCGAAAATAATTTTCCTTCGGGTATTAAGGGGCCACTTGTCCACTACCCGCTTTGACCATAATCATAGTATGAAATCGATTTTTCTGGAAACTCATATTAATCAATTTACATATATTATTCGCGACCTGTGACCTGCGGATGAGACCCACCGAGCATATAGTTTACTGTTGGAGGCTGATGTTGTTTGTCACAAAATCAAAGCTGAAACAGCATTACTTCTCAAAACAGTAAAACTAATGCCAGTAAACGAATACTCTTTTTATGTTTTGTTACGTTGCGACGTTTTTCATAATCTAGAAGTATCTTTTACTTTTCACTATGACTAAACATTTGTACAATTTTAAAATCTTGCATTTAAAATGTGAAAAAAGTTTTTAAAAACCTTATTTGGTTGCGAAGACATGATATTCTAAAGATCGCCAGATTTCTAAAAATAGTAACAAAATGGCGGAAAATTTTAAACTCACGGTTCAATTACTTTTTAACCAATAAAGTTTTACAAATATTTTTTTTCCACATTTGAGCTCATCTCCGTGAGCTCTTTTAGTTTAGTTTGTTATGCCATAAGTCGAAAACTATTTTTTCTGTCAATCTTATGACGTCATTTTCGCGCCAAAAACCGTTAAAATCATACAACTGTTGGGAACGGCACAGTTCTATTACTGTGCAAAGTCTCAGCTTAAACGGTCAAAAATTGGAAAACTAGTTTTAAATTAAAGAGATCACTTTTTGATTTTTTCCTTACTCCCGGCTATTTTCTTCGAGCTCCCGATAACTCGAACTTTTTTCGATTTCCCTTGAAGGTTCGAGTTATCGGGAGTCGACTGTAGCTGCGTATCTTTCATAGCGGCCAAAGCTCGGTTACACATCTAAAGGTGCAATTTATCCAAGAAATCTGCTCTGATATGACATGTTTTGTTACAGTCCATATTTATTTAAAAATTCCTGGAAAGATTCTCTAACAACAGTACAATGAAATAATCACAGGGGTGTTCCTGGAACGATTTACTATAACAACAGTACGAGGAAAGAGGGTAATGCATAAGATTTTGAAGTGTGATCCGGTAATCATGAAAAACCATGTCCTGAATTGATGTCATTGATGGGTAAAACTGAGTCTGCTTGATTTATTAAAGCTGTTCGTGTTTTTCCGGTGACCAGCCAGTTGAAGAATTGAAACCCAACTTTCCGAATCTAAAGGGATTCTCATCCTGCACGATCACTTTTCGCTACGTCTTGATACTAAGGGACAGACCATCTAAAAAAGTGAACGGGAGAGAACAAAAAAAAATCCATACAAGAATAATTCACGCGAGAACATGCATACAACCGGAACAACAAAAGAGTTGTGTTTGGGGTGTTCATCCTGAGATGAAAGTCCGGAACCCAGGTGAAAGTCTTTTCGCACCGTTAAGTGTGTCTTACTAATTTTGGGATATTAACCGCATTTATGCTGTGCCATAAAAACACAAGAGACTTACATGATTAACCGAATCTGTGAGAAAATCCGACAGATCTGCGGCGGAATGAGGGAATATGATTGAGTCTCTTATTATGCTCGCTTGTTTTCTATCTTACTGACATCAGTGAAAAATAGGTTACATTTTGAATTGGCGTTTATTTATTATTGATCAAAACTCTAGGGCGGCCAAGTTACAAAAATATTTGACGGCAACAAATTACAACATTACGTGAAATGTAGGCCTTTTAAGCCTCGTGCTGCGGCTTTGAGGACGTGTTGAGAAGATCCTTTCTCAGCTTCTTGCTTCAATACTATAGCAATAAACACACCACCAGCAGGCCATTGCTCGACGTCTCTTTCGACCAGGGGCATTGGTTGCCTCAGTACAAGACCTGCCCTCTTTGAAATGCACCTCCAATCCCACCTTGCAGCTCTTCATGTTAACCACGCCCCTCAGATTAATATCACTGTTAATCTTCTCATCCATTTCCACAGTATAAGTTTCTAAAAGAAGTAAAAACAAAACATTCAATATAATAATTTTGCCCTATGTAAGGAAATCCAAAACAGCCTTGGATTCTGGTTTCCACGCCGTCTTCCATTATCTTTTCAAGCTGTGGATTACGGATTCCAGGTACTGGTACGGATTCTTTGTCTGTGGAACTTCTATTTCGGATTCCACTGGTTAGCGTGATTCTGGATTCCTTGAGCTGGATTGTCAGTTCCAAAGCCCAGTATTCCAGATTCCACAAGTAAAAAAGGTTTCCCGGATTCCCGAATCCCGATTACGGTCACATGGGGCGAATAAATAGGTCTAGTAAGGTTGTGTTTAATGTATTACCTCTTTTAGTTTACACAGACCTACGTGGCGACCTACGTACGAGCCTTTGGCTTCAAATTGTGATAGAGATAAGTTGTTATGTTGTCTCACTGTAAGCACTCCAAGCTTCAGAATCTCAATTCCACTGTCCCTGTTTATGTCGTTAGGGTGAAGTCTTACGTAAAAAGGGCTCGGTCAATAAACTTAACTTTGTCCCAGAACGGATAATCCCCAGTCTTTAATAATATACTGGCGCGGTCATATCTTTCATGATATAAATCTATGTGATTTCAAAGCGTTCAAAGTCAGCGCCAACTCATGATCATTCCAGTTTGAGGCAAAATTGAAAAATGCGGGTCGCCGTGTTTCAAGTTTGCCCATGCGTGTCCCTTTTGTAAAACGATATTTTTGGGTATAAGTTAATACCAAAATGAAAATACCTTTATCGAATAAGGAACGTTAATGAATCATCAAGCATTGCTATTTTTAAAATATTTTTATTATTATTATCACTAAGTAGAGTGTTTTGAATTGTTATATAAATACGTTCTACTAGAATGTACTGGGCTTACAAAAGCTATTTGTTTTTCGTTAATAAGGTTTGGCCTTTCTCTGTAAAGATGCTCTTTTGGACGTCGGTTTTCTTTGCGCACGTGCCACTATTCAATTAAGAAATGATGCTTTTTGTTTAAACTGAACCCACACAGAGGTTCTTAATCTAATTAGTTCTGGTAAATTTAACGACATTTGTTTGTTTTCTTACATTAATTGGCTTAACTAGTTTTTCCTAAATCTTCAGAAGCTTGACCTTACCAAGTTGTTTTTCCTGGACATTCCTATTTTTACTCTCTTTCGCGTATTTAGTGGTTTGATCGAACTTCAGTGCGCTTCCAAAAGAAAACCTTGTCCAACAGACTATCTTAGTTAACTCGTTGTGATAAACAGCTTTTGTTACTGCCTAGTTCAATTTACTTGCTAAAAGTTGTAACGAGTGATATCTTTGTTTAAAGGCTTTCGCAATGTAAATATCTTGCTAATTGATTTTTGATTAGAGATTTGTAAACAATCTTTTAGTTAATATATTTAAAAAGGCGGGACTAATTACCATTGTACGATATTCCAACAAGAAGCTTTTAAACGACAACTTAAGCACAGTACGCGAATTGACAAATTGTACATTTTAGAGTAACGATATTGTACATATGTGATTTTCATTCATGTAAACATTCTTTGTAATTTTTGTGTCTCTCTGACTGTTTTGTTTTGACCGGACAATTGTTGGACAAAAGTGAATTTTGGAGTTTTAACTGATTTTCCTATTACGACACAACCTCGAAGGAAAATATGTTAATAATTCTCATAGCCAATCGAATTTTTACTGATGTAAGATTATTTTAAGTTGAGTAAGATTGGCAGCCTTCAGATTCAGTCAGGATAAAAAGAGCTGTAACTAGGTCTTGTCAGAGAGATACTGCTATCCTTGATTGTGAAAAGTTGAGCAACAAGTAATCTACATTAAAATAGTTTAAAGACACAAAAGGTTTGAGTTCATTGTAGAGGATTACTGTTCCCCCAAGTTTCCTACTACACTTTTGGCTTGTGTGTATTTCTCTTGTGTTCTTTTGGCAGACTAAATCAATTTTTCAGAGATATCTCAGTCGGCTCTGTAACTGCTTTTTTAAAGCGCTGAGATAGCCTACATAGCGTGACAGTTTGTCAGTAACCCTAGTCAACAGGACAACCCGTGTTTTCTTTAGGGTTGTTCATATGTATTTTACCGTGTTATTGTTTTTACATCTTTTGGGTTAGACTTGATTCCAAAAGTCCCTGACTGAAAAAATAAATGAGATATTTACCAGGCATCAAGGTCTCTAATTCTCGTACAATCTCCCGCAGTCTTGAGCAATCTACTATCTTGTAGAAGAAGAACTTTTTTTCGTAGACAGGTTGGGCGCTTCCGGGCTCGCTCACTAGCTTCGTTGTCTGCTCTTTTTTGTAGCCATGACTCTCGAGGTTTGCCTCCTTTAACCTAGCCATCATCTCTTCATCTGAAGTATGGAAGTCCGGATTGTAGACCTTCAATATCAATTTTTCTTCTGATGTGGCATCTATTGAACAAAGATTGAATAAAATTGTAGCTTGCGAATACAGCTGTCTCTCCTCGCTCCTGTCCGCTAGGTACGTCTCGCGGGACAATACGACATCATGTCTCTCGTGAAAAGACTCACCAGCGGCGAGGAGCGTGCTAAGGAGAGACGGCTATGCATACTATAAGAAAAGGGTGAATAGGTTCCCTCTCTGTGTTTAAGGCAATAACGTTTTACAATGCTTTTTTAGAAACAAATTTCGGATTCTACTTGTAATTTTTGTAATGGCGACTGCCGACGTAACGTGCCTTCTTGATGCTCAAAGTATGCTAACTAACTACGAGAGAATGACCGGACAACCGGCAATTTGAATAACAACGCACCAATAACATTACGAGTCTAAATAGCCAATAACATCACGACTTAATGACAGACGACCAATAACATCGCGACTTAACTGACCAATCCGGTCAATAATTAGAGTTTATAACTAACGTGATAGAACTCACTTTCACTCTGAAAATGACTAACGCCAGACAGGTTGTCAAAGTGTCGGTCACTGTCAACAACAGTCCTGTTAAGGGCTACGTCCACCTGGACGATCATGATCAACCTACTTACAAAGTATGAGTAATTAAATCAAAGGAACGTACCTAATACTCATTGATGGATAATACATTTTTTTCGTCTAAAAGGCTAAATCGCCAAGCCCGTTTAAAACAGACGTGTTGAAGTCTTTTGGTGGTTTGAGTTTCTGAATGAACAAACAGCTTTCCGTGAGCTTCCTGTTGATACTGTCAGTTTCCTTATCCTTAAAAGGGAAGGAGGGAGGGGGGTGGGCAAGAGTTTGTCTCGTCACGAGTTCACGAAAAACAATTTTACGTTTCACGAGTCACGAAACAAATATTTACGTTTTCACGCTTCTCGGAAATAGAGGTCGTACAAAATATCAAAAGCGTTACGTTGGCCCTATTTTGTAAAACAGAGTGCTTCAAGAGAGTTAACTAGAGTTTTAAGAACTTTACTCGCACAGCTCGCCCACTATGCGTTGTTACATGTTTTACGTTACTGCCAGTTATAAATGTAAGAGTATTGTCATCATCTTCCACAGGATGTTGACGTTCACTTTCACTGTCATATTCTTCCTCCTTGGGGTTGGTAAAAACTTCTTGTTCTGGTTCAGCGTGGTACGTAGAAAATTACTGCTTCCACAAAGCAAGAATTTTGTCGGATTCGTGAGAAGTGGCGGCAATGATTTCTTTAGTGTAACTATTGACCTTTGATCTCGGCCACGTCTTGCTGTAATCTCTGCGCGCGCGCGGCTATAAATTCCTTAGGGAAGTCAACTGAAGCCAAATGTATCTGAGCGCGCACTTAAGTGTGAAGACTCATTACATCAGGCCACCACAAGGGGGGGGGGGGGTAGGTAACTCTATTGTTTTCCAACAAAGTTTCTTGACCCACTCCGCCTGCCAGTATGACGTCACATTGGGCGCTTTCCATTTAGTCAAAATTTCCGGAATTTCCGGTTCGGAGGTAAATGGAACACCTTTCGTCGGTTCGTCCCACTGGAAAATTCCCAGAAAAAGTGGAAAATCTAAAAAGGAGGTCCCGTTTTCCCGGCTGGAATTTCCGCACGGAATGTCGTGTTCCATTAACGTTTCTCGTAGTTTGTACCAGTTCCAGGCCCACGGTCGGGCACCGCCACGTACCGGGGTTTACGACCAAATGGAACAACTTTTTACCAATCGGAAATTCCACTTTTGCTACCACCGAAATTTCCGGGTTTTTTTCCTAAATGGAAAGCGCCCATTGTAACGGGCAAGAGCCTCGGGTCGCTTGTGCAAATTAGCAAGGGATACGACAGTTATTTGGACGAGCGAGGTCGAGGAAAAGCTAAGGAGCTAGCAAATATCGCTATGTATCACTTATTTGATCGAATGTGTGTGAGCTTTGGTGTTGCTATAATCTGCTTCTGTAAACTGTTTTGATATTTTGTGTCCCTGATCGTATAACTTTGTTAATTTGTTTTGCCGGCCATGTTGCGGGATCGCCATCTATTTCACGGGACCGGCAAGGTCATCAAAACTTAATTTTTTTTTTCTCTAAAATAAGCAAGCTCTAGTCTCCAAAATAGGAGGTTCTATTCACAGATCACACATGTTTATGTTTCATCTATTCTTTTGTTAATTAAACGGGCCTAACTTCATATAATTCCTTTCGAGTGTAAGCCTCTGTTGATCTCCTAATTCTCCACCAAATCCAGTAAAGCTAGTTCGATCGATTATCTACATCAAGTCGGCCCGTTGAACCCGAAATAATGCGAAATAGCTTTGAAATACGCGCTTAAGCTGCTAATTTTCCTCAAATGTATAGAATTCATGATAAATACAGATCCACAAGCTTCAAACAGCATCTATGGCAGAGAAAAATTGTTTTGATATGACAAAATTAATTTTTCTAATCATGTGTGTCACTGTGGTGCAGTGGTCAAGTAGTTACTTCAACGTGCAGATAAACCGGGTTCGACTCCCGGCGACGCTGTTATCTGTTTTTTTTAACACTTTTTTTTCTTTTGGCCTTTTTTTCTTTCACAGGACGAAATAACGTGTTTCCGTATTTTGTAAACTCGACGGAAACGGGAAGTTGGTTATATCCGTCACGTTTCCGCGCTGCGGAAATATGGTGATCTAGTTTTCCATGGACGGGACGCGTTTCCGTCATGTTTCCGCGTCGGAAACGAACGATCATGTTTCCGCCACATTTCTGTTATCACATTTCCGTTCTTTCTTGTTTCCGTTACGTTTCAGGTTTCTTAACCCATGTCCAAAATCGCAGGATCAATGTTTCTGAAACTTTTCCTTTGCGTACAATCAAGGTGAATAAAGGTAAATTTACTCTCCAGATCGGGCCATTAAACGGTTCTAATGTATTACTCGCGCGCGTTGCGATAATGCAAAGACTGTGAAGTGTGCGAGGTTGTCATTGCTTTCGATTCTAAGTGATAAAAATCGCAGAGCTTACTAACAGCTTTCGATATTTGCCAGATTGATGTCAATCAGTACCGGCGTAAAAATAAAATGCTCTTGGACGGAGAAAACAAGAGAGAATGGGGCCTAGAACAGAGCGAAGTGCTGGTCAGCGGACTTTTCTTTTGCTCATGCTCAATGCGGTCGTTCTTTTTGGCGTCCATTTTGAAATTGCTTGCAACGGCTTCAAATTTGCCAGCTTCGGTAGGTTCTAGGAGTGTGGAATCGGTATATTTTTGCTTTCTGATGACGCCACAAGACATCTAAGGGTTGTTATGTATATGCGACAGATCGGCCTTCAGCAATCGATCGCTTCCCATGTTCTGAAGAACGTGAGACAAAAACCTCGTGATGCGCAAGTATGATTTAAAAGTTGGAGTGTTTTACCGTGCTAAGGCTATCCAAGGCGGAGGATTGTGACGGAGAATACAGATAGTAAGACGAGGTAAGCTTAACAGTTTTCCATATTTCATTTTTGTGGTCTGTAACATTTGATATAATGCTTGGAAGTCATATTTGTTGACACAAAGCTGTGATTGATAAGTACAGTAATTTCCCAAGCAGGAAACTGCAACATAATAAACCTGAATCCTTTTACTAATCAGGGCAAGGTGCTGCTCTGTGAGGTCTGTGAAATGATTGTAGAAAAATGGTTAGATGGTTCCAGTGATTTTGTTACAAATAGTGTATATGGTGAGTCCTGGGACTCATCTTGTGAATAGTCAAGAGTCCCTGTCCATATCCAGTGAGTCGCAGTTAGAAAACAAGGAGTCCTTAATTGAAAATGCTTGGTATGGGCCTTTTAACCAGACAGTTAATCTGGAGACAGACACCAAAACTCTTAATTACAGTTTACTGAAATCAGACTAAAGTCCTTCTATATATTTAAAACACAAAAAGACTAAAATAAGTATACGTCTTTAAACAACTTTTTCACTTCAACTATTCGTAATAAATCTTAAGCCGTCTACACACCACCTGCCTCGATTAGCCTTGCTATTTGCAGGTGGTGTGATATTTGTATATTTAATGTAAGAAATAAAGATGTTGTTGTTGTTGTTGTTGTTGTACAACAGTTACAGAAATCACACAAAAAGGATATTCTACCAAAAAATCTTCAAATCGATCGATCATCCTTTGCATCCTACAGAACGCATGCCATGAAATTATTATTTTGCGTCTTTGGGGAATTTTATGTGTAAGGGACACAAGATGCAGAAGTAACAAAATCACTGGGGTTCAAAACCATTCCAAATAGTGCTCCAGTTTAATTTACTGAGAAAGACCATAACAAATATTGTTGATCGGTTCGTACATCCAGGAAGCCCCTACACAGAGTTGGGTAAACAGCAGACCAAGTTTGTGTGCTACAGAAATACAAATTTTAATCGAAAATCAGGTAGTTGACATGCAAAGGTTCGATAAGTCATGTATTGACACGTGATTTGGGTTACTTGTGCAAAAAAGTTGACAATAGTTCCAAAAAGGAGCTTATAATAAGAATATAATGCTCGACTGAGAACGCTCAAGAAAAAGTTGAAGAAAATTTTTTTCTTTTTCAGTAACTGTGATCCCTAGCCTGCGAAAACATCCGTTTCTCCTTGCTCTTCGCTGCTGGGGACGTTTTGCATGGAGGAACGTCTGCAACTCAGTGGAGAAATTCCATACTGATGACGCAAATCAATGTTTACATAATAAATCCAGTAGTCATAGGGTTCCAAATATAAATTTGTCCAGTTTTATGTGTCTTCTGGTCGGTTTTGGTAAAGTGTTGTGTTCATCTGCCAGCGAGCTCCAGCAAAACTCAAATGCGTCTTCTAGACAAGACTATATTGCACAAATATTGACTGTTTTGTTAGAGATTCTTCGCGCTTACATTTGACCTTTGTGGCCTTTTGTCTTTTGTCTGTCATTAGTAAACAATAGCTAAAACAATGTAACTACTGCGTTGACCAATCAGCGCTTCTGACTGGATTCCGGACAGATTTTACGTCATCAGTAGGGAATTTCTGTCGCTGAGTCGCAGACGTTCCTCCTTGCGAAATGTCCTCAGCGGCGAAGAGCGAGGAGAAACGGATGTTTTCGCTTACTATGTGATCCCAGGAATAAGCACTTCTTTGACAAGAGCTCAGTGATTAAAACAACTGGGAAGTGAAGTTACTGTTGAGCAAACTTTTGAAGTTCAGTCACACCAAAGTTGACAACTATGTCTTGAAGTTTGCAATTTGATTCCCTAACTTGCTATGTAATTGGCTACCCAATTTCCCAACGAACTCTGCAATGTGGCGTGGTAAATAATGTGAAATTGACTGTAACAGAGTGATCCAGACAATACTAAATAATATGACACAGCCCCTTTAAGTCTTCCTTTCAGTGGACAGCAAAACCAGCAGTGGAGTTAAACTAGTAAAACCACTTTTATGTATCCTGTATTACCCTATGCAAGCATATTGACCAGGGGGAAGGGGGGTACTCCTTAAATACGGTAAGTTCTCTTGAAATCCAAACAACATTCCCACAACTTGCAAAGCAACCAGCAGATTTGTTTACTGACCATTCTTTGAATAACCAAAGATTGGTGGTTTTGATATACATTGTAAAAACTGAAAAAGGGAAATTGAAGGTGGGACAATTTCTCTTTATTGTATTTTGGTTATTCACAAGTGTATTGATATAATGCCACTTTTCAGACAGCATATTACAGCACAAGGACACATTATTGGCAATATAGACAAAGTGAACAACAGTTTACTACACAACTGTGACACGGGCACTTTAAAGTCATTTCAATTATAATTCAAGGAACTGAGCTTTCAGGAATAGTTTTGCTTTGTTTACTTGGTTTATTGAATTTTAACTCTGACTTTAAGTTGTTGAACTGACTGTAACAAACAGAGTGAAATGCTGAGAAGTGAATTTGTTTATTCAAAATTATAAGCTTGTATTTATAAGCTCTATAGAATAGTAGACTTAGTTCGACTAAATTTGACACTTTCTCCAGTGTTTTTTATCAGCGTCATAACTATAGTAATCTGATATCCACACTCATAGCTCAGGGTACATTGTTGTCAGTTAAGACGTTACATGGTTGTGGTGACTGTCACTTGTTTTTTAGTTTCCCTTGCAACTTGAATACCAAGAAACAATATTATTACAACATGTGAGAAAAACAAAGAGGCATGATATTTTTGTCAATTATTGACTTATTAACTGTCGGTTTGCCTCTCACTGCTAAAATATTTACTTTAGGAAATACATGTACATGTATATCCAGCATATCACAGTGAATGTTTGGCTTTCAAACTAGATCAAACTCTTTCATTCGAAAGAGTTTGATGCAACTCAGCCATTCACCAAAACCCACTCACAAGAAAAAATTGAATAGATCATTTGATTTTTGAAGTCAGTCAAACATTGAGTTGGGTTATCGAACAAAGTAGAACTCACATAAGGAATACTCGAAAGGAACAAAATCAAAAGTTTCAGTTCCAAGCAATTGATGGCAAGTGTTTTAATTATTGATCTAGTGTGAAAGCAGTCAATTCGATGTAAAGTCCTGCTTCTTTTGTTATTTCCATTTCAGAGTTAAATTCTAAAATAAACATTTTCTGTGAAAATGTCAATACATTTATTTTGTTTACCAAGGAAAAAAGTTTTTAAATCTGCAAGTTGAAATCATCTTGGGAATCGTGTCAATTATTACTCCTCACTCCTTAACTGGCCTCAATTGTAGCATATTCTGAATCCAGCACTTGTCAGATTTCCTTGGCTTGTTGAGTTGACTCAGTTTTCACATTTGATTTTTTTTCCAATATAATAATATTATTTTGGTTTGTTTCGATTTTGTTCAGGCATCAAACTCTCAAAAAAGCTGGTTTGATATTGTTTGATAGCCAAACTGTTTTGTTCAGGGGAGTTTGATGGGGATTTTGTTTTGTGTAATACATTGTACACCAGAAGTATACATTTACTGCAATAAATTATCTGTAGCCCACCAGGGTGATCGCTTTACAAGTTGTGAGAACATCATTTCTTGCACCCAGACCTTGTTACTTTCCCCTGCCTTCCCTGGTATTTACCCTATACGTGTAGATGATAATGTGCAACCTGAGGGAGGTTGTGCCCTTGAAAAAGAGGCTTTTTGTTACTGGTACTGGGAATCATAGACAGCCTCTGTTTACATTTACATGTAACCCCTGGTCCACAGTCTTAAAGTTGCAGGTTACAGGCAACATAATGTACTAGCTATTACTATGAAACACAACTGTATGTATGTAAATGTAATGTGATGAATCATGGTTGTCAGAGAGTTTGGAAGTAGACGGCTGAGTTGTCAAAGTAAGCGGTCAGTAAGTTATATGTATACATGTATTACTCATTTCGTATGTTTTAATCTCATTAGTAAAGTTTAGTTATCTTACTGCTAAAAGGTTTTCCATCCCCCCGATAACCTAGGGTATAGCCTCTGTGTTTTACTTAAATAGCACTTTGTTTTGTTTTTCATACAACAGGCAGATCACCTTGGTATGTGATGTTGGTGCGGAACGTTCTCTCAAAGCAAGCAGGCTGGATCATGGAACTTAATTTCAGTCTCAAGTTACTGTGCTTTATGCTTAGTCAAGTTCTGCAAATGTTAATCTTGAAATACCGGTACTACTTCCATGCTAAAGACAAAAAATGTCCAACTGCTACCTCAAGTGGGCAAGATGAAGCGGACCTTACATTTTAATTGGCTACCCAAGCAGGCAAGATGAGCCCATTTTTCCCACTTGGGATTTCGTGCGTTGGTCATGCACATAAAAGTTCTCTTCTTGGCCATGTAATAATTCATTATTTTATTGACCAAGCTTGTTCGTTCAAGATGGCTGAATATTGGCCTCATTCAGTTTTGCATTTTTATTGACCAAGACCAGGCTGTGCTCTGTGGCCCGTGGCGCCTGCATCTGTAACTTTTGTTCTCGGGCGACTAGAAAATCTTTGCTTTTTCACAGAAATCATTTGCTGGGCACACTGGATTTCACAAGTTCAGAGTGCTGGGCTGCCTTCAATTTTTCTTAGAGCACAGCCTTGCAAGAGGAAGGCAGGGTCAATAAAGGCACAAATATTCAGCCGTCTTAACCTCACACCCGGTCAATAAAGCATAATTATTTATTACAATTTTATATTTGAATCCGTGAGCGGGCAAGATAAAGCAAATCCTGTGTTCTAATTGGCTGCTCAAGTGGGCAAACCAATCAAGCTTGTTTGGTGAAGATAGCTGGGTACTGGCCTCGCAAAAAAGAGCTTGGCCAATATCAAGCCATCTTGACCGAATGTTGGTCAATAATGCATAATCATTTTTAACAATAATAATTATCAGAACTTTGTGAACATCTTTTCCAGAAAGGCATTTTATGTTGCTTTAAAAGGGGTAGCTTGTGCTATGTTTTGTTCTTTGAGAGGCTTAAATGTGTCTTGGCGTAAATTAAGTTTCAAAAATAATGGTCCAGTTTTAATTGAGGCATTGGGACTGTTTCCCATCAGCTCTTGCTATGTATGACAAAGATGATCATGGATTGAAACTTTGCCAACTTTTTCACGCTTAAAATAATGCTATGACTGCGTAAATCACCAAGAATTATTATGGTTTGTGTTTCCTGATGAAATTGGCTTGATGCATGTATCTTCTTCATAACTATACAAGTCGAGCATTTTGTGTATTGGGTAAAGACACTAAGTAATGACTTCAGCATAGAAGTGACCTAAAATGTATACATGAAACACATAAACGGTTTTAGCAGACTTGTATTATGTAAAACTGTAGCCATACTTTTTTTGTTGATGTATTTTTTTGCATTTGAATCTTTGCACTGGTCATAGAAAATTGTGTAGTTTAGACCACCATGTCAGAAGAGTAAGAATATTCCTGACACAATATAATATTATCCTGAAGCAGAATGGTCATATGAGTAAGTGGTATATGATCATACAGGTTAGTATAGTACTAAGTGGGACTGTTGACAGGAACTGATGTTTTGACAATGCCCATGAAAATGATGATCACCTTGATGTCAAAACGTTAGTCGCTCTCAACAAGAGTCCTACTCAGGACTACAATGTACAGTCACCCGACAAATCATATTCCACTTTGTTGAAATATTATAGACAACCAAAACTATCACTAGCCATAAGCTGCACATGAAAGTGTTTATCACTATCTGCTATAAAGGATATTAATTTGTTAACAGATTTGACATTTTCTTTGCCAAAAAAAAAAACTACGTTGTCCTACAGAAAATGTCTAGTGGATTTCTTAAAGGAAGCCTCTAAATATTCTTGTTCATTGCTAGTGTGAATAGGCACTCACACTTAAAATGTAATTGAACTTAAGCAATGTAATAAATAAATACCATAAGAAGACCTGATTGTCAATTTAGGAAGCAAGGTGAATAAAGAAAGTACTTGGAAAGATTGCTTTGGTATTATTTTGTGCAATAAAAATGTCGAGAGAATGGGTTTTTGTTACTATAGATGGCGCGAAAACTACCCCAGCATGGTGAAAAGCGCTTTTTCCACGATGGGAATAACTTGAAAACACCAGTTTCCGACTCGTAAACTCGTGTTTCCGCAATAGTTACATCCGATTACGTTAACGGAAACATGAAATTGACTTGTTTCCGGAACGTTTTCGCGTGTTTCCGCAAGGATGCCACGCATTTATGCTTCCGGAAACACGTGTTTCCTTAGACGGAAATTTGACGGAAACGTATAAAAAAGTGGTACGTTTCCGCCGAAAGCGCAGCGACGGAAACACGGGTAAACGTAATGTATCCGCTAACGGAAACATGTGATTACCGTCATGTTTCCGCAACGGTTTTACGTGTTTACGTTAAGTTTCCATTTACGGATTCATGGCCAGCAGGGTCAGCAGTAAGAATAAATTTATTCTTACTGCTGACCCTGCTGGCCATGCACTTGGACCAATATATATATTTAAGCTTAAGTCCGGAGTTTTATTTTGGAAAAGGGATTACAAAAGCTCTTGATCTGCATACTGGGCAAGCTTACGACCAGAAAAAAAAATCATAAGATGTCAAGACATGTCCCTCCACTGGAACAGCTGAATTTTTTTCAATGTTAGTTGACATCATGACAAACAACACACAGTACACCACAAACTGTACTAATTTACACCCAACACTCACCAGTGACCCACTGGCGAAAGTTAAACCAGTGCCTTTGTACATCGTCTTAAACATCAATATTATTACCCTAAAACCTGCACTGAGTCAGTTGCCCCCAAAAAATAATTAAACGAAACCTTTCATTGGTTTTCGGGATTTAATTACAGAATTACAGGTGTATAGAGTCTTTTCACGTGACGTCACGGCGGCCATATTGGTGTCCCAAAACAATGAAACGGCCGCCATGTTGGTGTCCCAAACCAGACCTCTGGGAGTTGAACTCTTCTTATGCAAACGCTTTCTTTGGTTCCAATAAATTTGCATAGATGCTGGCCACGTGAGTGAAAACACTCTATACTTAATGCAGTATCAAAGTGCGGTAAAGCCAGATTCAATGCTCACAGTCTCTCACAAATACCTGTCACTTAGCTTCCTGTTTCAACGCTACAGCTAAGCAAACTTTGATAGGAATGATATGGGGTTCCACTAGCTCTGAAGAGCTGAAAATGCGCACAATGTAAAGTATAATACATCCTTTGATGAACCTCCTATTGCTGTGTCTAAACTCCTCAATCTAGCTGTGCACTGGCCCGCAAAAGTGTGACCGGTCGGTATAATTGCCCGTAAAATTTGTTCGACGATAGAAAGGAATCTTTAAAATTCATTACTCCACTGGACGTTTCATTCCAATAAAGTACTTAAGTCTAGTTGTCTATGGCAATAGAAGCCTTAAAATCTCCAAATCCAAGAAATCGGAACAGTACTTCCGTGATAAAATCGAAATTTTTATCCGTCTCTTCGATGAACACTTTCCTCGCCATTTTGAAAGTTACTGACGCGAGACCTGACATCACACTGGCAGGCGGACTGTACCACAGGTTTCCTTGGAGACACCCAACCCCCATAATAATGGAGGATTTTGGCAGTTTACGTTTGACGGAGTGCACGTCAATCACGATGTACAGAACAGCTTTCCAGTAATGATTCTATCACGGCGTCACGGAAATAAGCTTGCCCTTTGTTTGTAATTAGGTTTTCGTTTTTCTTTTGTATTAAACATTCATTTAAGCCCACTCCTTGCATCCAAAGGATTCATGTCGTTGTGCCACTGCTCTTTGGCCTCCGGCCGTTGGCGGCGTTGAACCGCTCGCGCCGCTCGGTTACACATACAACAGGCCAAAAACAAAAACAAAAAAACAAAACAAAACAAAAGCGAAACAGAAAGAACCATTTTACTTGAGGGCATAGCCCCTCCTTCTAATACTGGAAGCAAATGAACTTGCTAACGTACCTTACGCAAATGGCGATAAAGCCAAAAACAAAAAGAACCAAAAAAGAAGAAAACCAAAAAGAAAAGAAAATAAACAAAAACCTCACCTGCGATATTAAACGTAGAAAACAGCGCCAAAAACGTAACCAAAATTTTCCCGCAAGCCATCACGACAGAGTAAAATTGTGAAAGTTAGCTTGCAAGTCTGAACTGGGCTCGATATTGCTTTGAACTGTACAATGACCTGAATGTGTAAGGTTACCTGTGTGAAATGCGATAACTTTGTTTACTTCAATGCTTTAATGTTATCATGCGCAGTTTGCTTCAGTTCCTCTTTTCTTTTAATCAGTTGAAATAGCAACTAATTTCGTGCCTTCCTCTAATGCTTCAACACGTTTAATGTTTCAAATACTGTCTTACATATCGTTCAAAGTTTTTGTTTAAAAAACATTTATTTTCGTGACTTTTTAAATGTCTTTCGCAGTCTACGTCAGTTCCAAGTTCCCTGTCAAAATGAGGCGGCGACGTTTTCAAAGCACTGAGTAGCACTTGTATTACGCTAATGCATGTGTTAATTGCAGCTGCGCCTACCTCCCGCCTAAAAACTCTACCGGTGCAATAAATGACGACTTCTGCAGTGTTCAGGGGACGCAAAATTGGCCCCCTTTCTTTGTCCTCGCCGGGCATTTGGCAGTTTCAAGTCAGCCCCCTTACCGCAAATTTGCATCTAAGACAAAGAATGCCGATGCCCATGGGTTAACCTGTGGATGGGGGGCTGTGAATCGACTCATACATTTTTGATACACGTAGAAAACAACCCCTGCAATAACATAACCGAAATGCTCCAAACAATCACGACAAACTTTTCTGGACTGGTCGAATTGACTTCGATTTTGGTTTAAACTGCAAACTTACGGCTGCCTTTTATGCTGTTGACTGTAAGATCAGTAAAATGCGATGATTTTGTTTACGGTCATGTCTTGTTGTTATGCTCGGTTTGCATCAGTTCTGGGACACCTTCCTTTCAGTCCACTTCCTCCATCCTTTAACGCTTGAACACATACATCGGTTAGGTTGGAAATGCTGCAGTCTAAGCCACTGAACTGGTTCAAAATATCGGTTTCAGAAATGCGATGATTTTGTTGACCTTTTTAATATCTTGGTTTGCTCCAGTTCCAGGGGCGGATCTAGGGGGAGGGTGCAGGGGGTGCGCACCCCCCCTGAGATGACCTGCGGTTTTCTAATACAACTGGTATTCTGCAAAAAAAAAAACTGTGTGGTTTATTGGTGTTGAAGTAGAACAAGAGACGAGTGCACCCCCTCCTAAAAAATTCCTGGATCCGCCCCTGAGTTCTACTTCCCTTTCAGACTAGTGGAATAGAGGAAAAAGAACTAATTCGTACTTCGCTCTATCACGCATACACTTGTAGAAAAGAGACCTAATAATAAAAAGCATGAGGGAAATTTTAAAAATAAAAAAGTTATTTTGAAACGGCTTATCACAACACACACACGCACACTGTAAAGCTTAGCTTTTCTGAACTAATCGGACTGACCTCGATAAACGTTTATACTGCAGACTGAGCTGTTTTATGAGGAAGCTGTGCGAAATGTGATACTTTTGTTTACTTCAATCCGTTGTTTTCATGGAAAGAGTAACTCAGTTGCACTTTCCTTTCAACCAGTTGTGATAATTTTCAAAAAACTTCTTCTTACTTCTCTACAACGCCTAATAAACACGTTTGCGAGCATATCTGCCTATACTTTCCAATTGCCCGTTTAGTGGGTGTCACGAAAACTCAGACCTCGAAGACTCAGAGGTCAATTAGTCTAAAAAATACAGTTTACATTCATTGCAATTTGACTTGATGTTTTATGAGCGATTGATTAACAAGATGTTTTCCTATCTCTTTGCCAAAGAGAATTAAATTAATGGTATTTTCAGTGTAGAATCTCCACTTTTTCAATACGTTAACGTTTTACCTAAGTTTATAATTTCTTGATCTCTACGTACAGGATAAAGATACCTCTAAACTTCCCTACAGGTAAAAAATAATAATGATTATATTAAGAGGATGAAGAGGATCTGATTTTAGGGTGTCTAAAAGGGAAGGATGGACTACGAGAGTACCAACAGAACTTGCAATTGAGGTTTATTCTTGACATGAAAGTTTTCTTTTTGTTGTTGTTTTCACTCCGGTTTTGATCAGTATGCAGTTGCTAGTCTTAAGATCCAACTATTTTCTCTCTAGCATTAAACGTGCATCATGTTTGTTAACTGTCAAGAGAGTTTAATCTGCGTACTCAGCACCGTTGGACTTCCCAATTACTGAACTGCAAGCAACATGCTTTTCAATCAGGGGAGGGGGGCGGAGGGAAGGTAACTCTATTGTTTTCGACCTAAGTTTCTTGACCCACTCCGCCCGCCAGTATGACGTCGGGCAAGAGCCTCGGGTCGCTTGTGCAAATTAGCCAGAGAGTACGACAGTTATTTGGACGAGCGAGGTCAAGGAAAAGCTAAGAAGTTCTAGTCTCCAGAATAGGAGGTTCCATTCACAGATCACACATGTTTATGTTTCATCTATTCTTTTGCTAATTAAACGCGCCTAACTTCATATCATTCCTTTCGAGTGTAGGCCTCTGTTGGTCTCCTAATTCTCCACCAAATTCAGTAAAGCTAGTTCGATAGATTATACATCGAGTCGGCCCGCTAAACCCGAAATAATACGAAATAGCCTTGAAGTACGCGCTTAAGCTAATCTTCCTACGCTGTGTTCTGTTTCTTTGTACCATTTTTTTTTTTTCTGTTTGGTCTCGTTTTTTTGACATTATATTTCCTTTTGGCCATTTTTAACTCGTGGGTACGCGCGAGCGTACCACGAGTTATTGCAGGGACTGAGATATGCAAATGAGTCACTCACTCACTCGTAGTAGACACACTTCGTAATTAATCGGGTCCGAACTCAAGAGCGCGAAGATCTATTGTTTCCAAAGAAGCACGGGCTCGCCGAAGTTCCGTAGCATCAAATCACTGCCTCGCTGCGAGCGTGCATCGTGCGCTACAGCACGGTTAGGATAGAGGTCTTACCAAATTTAAGACAGGCAGGAATCTTTCAAAGTAGTACGATTCAAAAGCCTTTGACCCGTCCAGGCGTTAAACTTGACAAGAAGATGAGCATTTGCTCTTCGACTCCTTCAACTTCGACGCTGGCTTGATTTCCTACCTTGTAGTACTGTAGTAGGTTATGTGTATGAATGAATTTATGGCGGTCAGCATAAAACATTGACTGCGGACTGGGTATAAAATACGGACTATAAAATACGGACTGGTGAAATGTATGGTAAATAAAGGCACTTCTTCTTCTTCTTCTTCTTAAGGACTCCCCAAGATCACGGGGGGAAATGGATGTGAGTTTGAGCATTACCTTTTTAAAATAACAGCGGAAATCGAGATAAGAAAACATAAGCTAATGTTTTGCGTCCTACTTCGCATATGTTCTTTCATTGCCATGAAATGCGTTTACATTGTTTTTTACTGTCAGTAGCCTGGTTTCAATTAGCCTTAATTTCATACCATTGCTTTGAGTCGTTTTTATGGCTCGATCGTTTGCCCCGGTCGTTTGTTGGCGGAAGTTCCATGGAAAAGGCATTAAATTTGAGACTTTTCGCCAATTCACGCGACCATCCTCAATGGCGTAATGGCTATGTGAGGTCGGGTCGAACCGAAGGTACCGGGTTTAAATCCTGCTAAGGACCTTCTTTTTCCCTTCTTCCTTTTTTTTTCTTTTTTGTTTTGTCTTGTTTGCTTATTTGTTTTGCTGTTTTTTTGTTTGTTTTTAAATATACACTTAAATAACTATTACTAAAGTGCAATAAACAATAAACGCTCGCGCGTACCCACGAGTTAAAAAGTACTTAAGTTTTGTTTTTCTATGACAATAGGGATCTTAAAATCTCCAAATCCAAGAAATCGGAACAGTATTTCCGCGGTAAAATCGAAATTTTTATCCGTCTCTCCGATGAACACTTCGCCGTCAAGACCGAAAATCTCTTTCCACGGTCTTTTTTTGCTCCGAAACCAAACTGAAACGCTTGCTCGCCATTTTGAAAGTCACTGACGCGAGACGTGACGTCATACTGGCAGGCGGACTGTACCACAGATTTCCTTCGAGACAGCTCCCCCCACCACCCCCTTCCCTGGTGACGTTTGAAATGTGACACTTGGAAAACAATTCGTGCAAAAAACGCAACCGCCTAACGAACTGAATTCTAATTTCTGTGTACCCGAAATCTGAGTATGACGGGGGATTAGCTGAGGAAAACTTTCGAAGAAATTCTGAGAAACTGCAATGGGAACTAAGATCGCATTACTGAAAGCATTGAAATTTTGAAACCCTGATGTTTCTTAATGAACCATTAACTAATTTTCTTGAACGTTCTCTAGCCCGGGAAACAGTGTGCTGAAAATCTTCCAACAAATCAGATTGTTTGTCTTGAACCTCAATTGTAGGTAATGAAACTCATCTATATATACTGAAATAGCAGTTTTAAAGCAGATGTTTTAAATTAGCTTTTCAAATCTTTTAAGGAGGAAATAAAAAATTTTTACATTGAAAGACGCTCCCACTATACATATTCATGTATATATCCCACTACTGTACATACAGAAAATATAACTCTTAGCTTCTGAAAGCTACAAAAAGACTCAAAACTTCAGTAGCACCATTTGCATCAGAGCTCATCGGTGTGGCCTGAAGTACTCCGGTTACTGCCACGGCTACAAAAAGCTTTATATTAAGTTTAGTATTGCATAATAAAGCGTATTGTTACTATCAGTTATTATTCACTCGGTAAACCGCCTAAACCAAATACAAATATCTCACAGTATCTCTACAAACGTCATGCCCAGTAGAGTATTAAAATGCGGTAAAGCAACAAGATTCAATGCTCACAGTCTCTACCCGTCATTTAACGTCCTCTTTCAACGCTACAGCTGCGAACTTTGAAAGGATTGATATGGGGTTCCACTAGCTCAGAAGAGCTGAAAATACGCACAATGTAAAGTATATTATATACTTTGTTCCCAGGCTCTCTCCTTCATATTTGAATTTTACTGTTTGGGATATTTACTCGTTTGCTTCCTCTAGGGGAATGGTTCTCAACGGTAAAAATGAAAAGAAATGTGCATTAGTTTTTTGCCGTTTGCGCCAGCCCCTCTACTGGTTGGCAGCTCTCAGA